CGGGACGTGCCAGGGAGGGCCTGGTCTGAGGGCGGCAGACCGTGCGCGCACGGTCTCAGGGCGAAGCAAACGGGCCTCGTTTGCTTCGTCGTGTTATTGGTCGGTTATCCCTGCTGTTGCAGGCCCCGTTTCTGGCTCGACGCGGCTCGGCTGGGGTGGAATCCGTGCGCTGCTGCTGGCAAGCTGCGCAGGTCGTTCGGGGGGTCCTTCTCGAGGTGAGGAAGAATAAAGTAAAGTAACTAGTCGAGGATAGAGTAAAAAAATAGTTGAGTTGTACGGTAAAAAAGGAGACACGGGCGCAGGAGGGTCGACCTCGACGTTCGGGAGAGAGAGGCGAAAAACGGCGCGTCGCGGGCGCGGCGGCACGCGCACGAAAAAGTCAGTCGGCCAATTAACGCGGGCGCTCCGTCCCGGGCTCGCTCGGCTCTCGATTCGGACGGGTTACCGCTTCGGGCGCGACCCCTAGCAACGGGCCGTGTACGCAGGTGGTGACCTCGGTCGCTGGCGACAGGGGTCACCAGCGAGGTGACCAGGGCCAAGTGGCACCCGGGCGTATACTCTATATACATACTTAAAAGGGCCTAGCCAGGAGAGCTGAGTAAGTCTGCCCATTTGTAATCCGACCGAGTAGCCGGACAGCCGCTCCGAGCGATACTGAAAAGGACTGCTACAGTATCCTGGACGCAGACGCACTACCGCACTACTTTTCGCCATCCGACGCGCCTCATACATGGGTCTCTTGTCTCTCGGCACGCCCCTCGCCTGGGATGACGCGAAACAGTACGCCGACCACGTCAGGAAACATGGCATAACCCAGTTCTTGAACATCTGGAATCGGGTCAAGGACAGATGTGGAGACGAACTGCTCTGGGGGGACGAGGTATCTACAGTTTCTACAGATGTCGCCGCCATGATTCAACTGTGTGCGTTTTTTCCCTGACCGAAGATAGAGTATATGGTTGTCGCTTTCGATAACGCGGAACGGAATGCAAAGCTCTCCCTCCGCCAGACGGAGATCCTCGCGAAGCTCCAGACCATCGTCGAGGACATCGCCTGTGGAGTTGACAAGTAAGCTTGACACATCATTCTGCAAGGCTGCTCTTACCACCGCCTTGCAGAAGTGCTGTGCCGACATACCATCCTGAATATGGACGTTTCATGCTCGAGTCGACGCCAGGCTCTCCGTATACCGGACATCTGACGGACCTGCTTACTGTGGAGAATAACATGCGTATTCGGTACGTCTCGCTTATTTAGTGTACGTCCGGGCCTAACGCGTCACCCAGGCGCCATATTGCTCGACGTTACCTGAAGACAAACGAGCTCCCCTTCACACTGACGTCCTTCCCCCGTCTCGGCGTGCCGGGAGTCTTCACAGAGCCACACTACGACCCTGCGGACGCAGTTTCTAGTCACAGCCTCTTCCTTCCAGAAGAGATAACGAATCCTCATGCTCGTTTCCCGTTCGTGATCATTCCCAAGGCTCGTGCTATTTGCGATCTGACCCTTACTTCTTTGTCAGAACCCTGACGGCAAATATCCGGCGGAGAAGGGGTTCGAAAGTCGCCATTAACCTTCCTTTGTTCATTGACGAAAACACTCCACGGCCATTTGTCGACCCGACTATCCCATGGCAGCGGAACATCTACCCGGAGGACCCAGGTGCGCACTGCGGCGCCTCAATTCGCATCACATGCTGACCGGAGCGGAATCTAGAGGCAAAACAGGGTGCGGCAAAGATAGATCACATCTACATGGATGCTATGGGTTTCGGCATGGGCTGCAGCTGTCTACAGCTCACTTTCCAAGCGTGCAATGTGAATGAAGCACGGAAGCTGTATGACGCCCTGGTTCCGCTAGCCCCGCTCATGGTACGGTTTCATTCCCGACTATCACTGCGCATATCAGATAATTGACTTTGGATAGCTCGCCCTGACCGCTGCAAGTCCACTGTGGCGCGGGTACATTGCTGATGTTGACTGCCGGTGGGACGTCGTGTCTGCGAGTGTCGACGATCGGACCGAAGAAGAGCGAGGATTGAAAGTATGTATGCAGTCCGACTATCTGTCGACATTCCTCACGTTTGTTGTAGCCATTAAAGAGCGGCAGGTTCCAAATACCCAAGTCACGTTATGCAAGCGTGAGCTTGTACATATCGGATGCTTGGTACAACCGCCCGGAGTACAATGATATTCATGCACCGTATGACCGCGCAATCTATGACCGCCTGATCTCCCAAGGTCAGTTTGGTTCCTTTTTTTCTTGCACGGTACTTGATATGGCCTCTTACAGGCATCGATTCTCAGCTGTCGAGGCACATTTCTCACTTATTTATCCGGGATCCCTTGGTAATCTTTTCTGAGATGATTGATCAGGATGATGCGACTAGTAATGACCACTTCGAAGTAAGTACATTGCACGTCGTATTGCAGGCCAGCTCACAACTGTTATTGCTCAGAATATTCAATCCACCAACTGGCAAACGGTTCGCTTCAAGCCGCCGCCGGTCAACTCGCCCATCGGCTGGCGGGTCGAGTTCCGTTCAATGGAAGTACAGCCTACTGACTTCGAAAACGCCGCCTTTGCCGTCTTCATTGTCCTCCTCTCGCGGGCTATCCTGCATTACAGCCTGAACATGTACTTGCCCATCTCGAAGGTGTGCCAATCCCACGTCCCTGCACGGAACTCTGCGCTAACTCCGGACATAATGTCAGGTGGATGAAAACATGGCTCGGGCCCACAAGCGGGATGCGGTGAGCACCGAGAAGTTTTACTTCCGAAAAGACATCTTCCCTCCCGGGGTACCCTCCCCGCTGTCCACCCCACTGTCTAGCCCGCACTCCTCGGGTGCGAGCTCCCCTGTGGAACCCAACGGCGCTGGCGGGTTGCCACGCAAAGCGCGCAAGCTCAATAACTGCTTTGCGGAGGTGCCGAAGCCTGAGAATGGCCATAAATTTGGTCCGATCGAGGAGGAATATGACGAGTACACTCTGGGCGAGATAATCAACGGCAAGGTAAGCGGTGCTCTTGCTACTTTGTGAAATCATGCAGTGTCCTTATTGTCCGCTCGGCGGAGCGATAGGGCGACCAGCTTGGCCTTCTGGGACTCGTGTACTCGTACCTCGACACGTTAGAGGTCAGGCCCTCCGAGATGATCAGGATCCACGAGTATCTAGACCTGGTTAAACGGAGATCGAACGGTGAGAAGGCTCTCTATCTCACCTTAAAAGCCTATTTGCTTATGAGAGGTCGATACCTAGGCTCGCTTGTTACCCCGGCTACTTGGATACGTAACTTCGTGCGCTCGCACCCTGCGTACAAGTTCGACTCTGTCGTCTCGCAGGATATCAATTACGACCTTCTTGTGGCTTTTGACGAAATGTAGGCAGCCTTTTCTCCCTCCCTTTAGAGCCCGTTTTGACGGGTTGTTCCCAGTGAACGCGGTGTTCGGCAAGCACCAGACCTAATGCCCGAATCTTACTCGCCTGAAAGGGCTCAATACAGACCGGCCTCACCGCAGTCCATGGCGACATCCAAGTCGGCCTAAAGGATGTGATACTGCGCTTGGGCGACAATGCTTTGTGATATATTCCTGGAACACAAGACATATCTTTGCTTAGACCTCTCCGCCCATCCTACCCCACCATGTAGCTTTCCAGACCTGTCTTGTTTTACGCTCGGTAGCAACTTGGTCGGCTGCAAAATCCTGTCCTGTCTGGCTGACGAATAAGGGACTCTTTGTAGATTACATTGCCTTTCAGCGCATCCGACATGTAACAATACTCTTAACAAGCATGCAAGAGTTTCAACATCGAGACTGCCAATACTTGAAGTCCGGTCAAATACATATGTTGATAGTTGAGGGACAAGCACACCTTTCTCTACACCTTTTGAATACGGTCTACTTTCCTCTGTGCCTCCTGAGAGCCTCCTGCACGCCTACGCCCGCCTGAATATCGGCCATGCACCTTGCATCGACCTCTCTGCCTTTCTCAGCCAATCTGAGAACGTCTGTAGCCAGATCTGGAGTGACGACTACAACACCATCCTCATCTGCAACCACAATGTCGCCCGAGTTCACAATGGCAGGAGCGAATGCGCCCTCCGAATCGGGGACGACACCCCCTGGCGAAATTGTGACTGGAACATTCACAGCGGAAGGGCGCGTGAAGGGCGACTGTCCAAGCGTCGAATGGCCCCTAGCGAAGACGGGGAAGTTGGACGAGCGATGCTCTGCGAGGTCTCTACAACGTCCAGATATAACGACGCCTTGCGCTCCGCGACTCTTCGCGCCTGCGGTCATGAGCCCGCCCCATACAGCGTTTTTGACCTCTGCGAAGGAACAGAAGAAGTGGTGAAAGCGAGCCCAGGAAACAGAGAGTGGGACGGCAGAGATGGAGCAAGTCTCAGCGGTGTTTATGCGGAGAGAAGAGAGAGCACACTGAACGAGGGGGAGCTGCAATAACTATCACAGACCCTGCTGGCGCGGTGTCGACGAAGTGCGAAGACAGCCCAGGAGCAGACGTGTCAGACCCCAGGACCATCTGCACTGTGTAGGCTGGGCCACAGATGCGTGCGCTTTCCGACTCTGTCGTGCGGGGAGACGGCGAAAGTATGTGGATGTCAGGAATATGGCCGCCATGGGGAACACCTAGCTTGATAAGAGCGTCTGATATCTCACAGGTTGAGAATTGAGAAAGAGGATGCGTAGGTGAGGTCGACATTGCGCGCAGGAGAGGCTGCAATCTGCTCAACGCCTGTCTCATACCAAGGAGGCGGAAGTCTGAGGCGAGCTCTGAGTGCGGGGACATTTTATGGAAAATTATTTTCCTTCGACAAGCCCTGCCTTAGCGGCAGTAAAATATTCTACCCTACGTACCGCCGCGGCTTGCCGGCCTTACTCTCTGCGCTCACCTCCGAACCGCCTTACCTGCGAGCCCGTCGGCGGACCTCCTCTCGCACAGCTCTGGAGCTGGCCTGGATACTATCTTTCATCACCCTTTGAATTATCTTTGTTACCCCTATTGCTTGCAAGATGCTAGGCCTCGATACCCACCCTCCAAGAGACTCCCTATGGACTCGAGCTGCACGGAGTGCGCGCAAGACTCTTCGGAAAGCTACCAAAGGTGTTATGCGGTCGTATCACTTCCGGATACCAAAATATACATGCCACTACGCTTCCGGCCTGTGAGTTGCTCAGTCTTATTCTTTGGAGCTCTCTAGGGTTGACGCGAGAGCAGTGGTTCCTTCTGTTCACAGCCTTGGTCATGGTAGTGTTGGCTCTCCTAGGCTTCACGAACCTTTCCCATTCGTTACCGTTGAATGACAAGATGCTACACTTCTTTTGCCTTATGCTCGCGACTGGAGTATTCTATTTCATCTTCGACGTCGAAGAGTGAGTGCACACGATGCTTAGCGCGAAAGACGTGAAAGAGTGGTGACGTTCAATCTACGTCCTGCTTGTTCTAAACTTGCGAAATCTTAGAGATGCGCGTCGAATATGGTTCTGGCACCATTCACCACTTATATTCACTGGCACTATGTGCTTCCTCTTCGGGGGCATCGTTAGCGAATTCGTACAGTCTATGCTGCCAGTACGTCCTCAGTTCTTCTCTATCTTCGTAACCTGAACTCTGCTTTACAGTACAAAGAATTCCAAATTGGTGATGTGTTTGTGAGTCTATATCATAAAACAATTGCTCCACATGGTTGACGATCTGTTAGGCCAATCTACTCGGTTCCTCTGTGGGGCTTTACGTCGCGTACTACTTGGAGAAGTACTACCGCCATAGACGAGAGGTGCGCTTCGTATCAAGTTTCGCAACACTATTCTTACCCTTCGTTGTCAGATTTCTCGTCTCTATCGTCCTCTTAATGCCGAAGATGATCTCTCTGACGAGGAGGATTTAGAAGCGGGAACTCAGTTATTACCCACGCCTGTTGATCCCGTAGCGACTCGTGATGCGGCAAAAGGTCCGGCCAAAACGTCTCGCCTTCAAGATGTGTGGGACGAAGGCGAAGAGCTATTCGACATAGGTGCCGAAAGCGAGGAAGAGGGCGAGACATCGTACTCGCGGGAGTCCCCACCTATCGCACATCTCTCGGACGGACCGAGATAACTGGATTGTGCACGGACTGTAGTGTATTTCTGTACAGTAGATTTACCTCTAGACTTTTAGCCCCAGGACTTCATTACATTAACTTGTACGTTGCGTCTTCAAGCTTCCAAGCTTTGGCGTCCCCGAGGTCTCGCGACATGCGCGCTTCACGCGGCGCGCACCTCAACATGACCCTCATCCGTTTCCTCCATGCCGGCATGTCGGGCTTTGCAGTTCAGGCCCTCTCTCGTCTTATCTGTGCAGGTTCATGATACTGCATGCGCGACAATATCCTCGCGGGTGATTACTTCCCGCTCCGGACGGCAGAACAGTAGATATGCGTCAACAGGAGCTGCTCTTGCAGTGAAGCCCACCTCGGCAGATCTGGAGTCGACGTTCCACAGTCCTGTTCGCACTGTTCTCCATAAAACGACCTCACTACTACCTCGAGTTCTCACCAACCATAATTATATACCTGAGTCGACCAAGTTAGCGTTTTGGCAAGAGGTCTTGGATGAAGCGTACGATCGTTTGAATAATACAGGCCCAGACGCATCTGCGCGAGTAGTTGGTAAGTTTGTGCAGTCCTTTATCCTACTTGACTCTGACTTTGATATGCCGATTGGTAGTTTATGGGTGTGATGAACATTCTGGAGTACAAGAACTGGTTACCGCGCTGCTGGAGGAGCCGTTCGCGCCAGATATTCATAAAGCTGTTATTCGGAACCGCTGGGAGGCAGGGTCTGAGGGTCTGGAAAGGGTGATAACGTGTGTATCTTTACGGCTGGTATCTGTACTCCTTAGCTGAATATAAGCTCAAGGTATGGGTATGCTCCGGCAGACCACCCCGCATCCTTCCGAACTCCTTCGAGTTGGTTGCAGCAATTCCTCGCGCCGGTCGAGCTTCGCGAACTGCGCAGTGTTCCGCTCTCCCTTGTCACGAACCACGGCGCCGTAACTAAGGCTCTCCTCTCCTCCGACGTTCCTGTCATTGTGTGCAACCCAGTGACGACTTCGATTGCCAAGCTTTATTCCGAACTACCGCTCCTTTTACAGCACGAAAACGCTATACTCGTCGTAGTATGCTCTCCAGAGCCAGCCTCTACCTTCGCAGATGCTGTGCTGAAGCACCTCCCCAGGTCGCTGTCAGTCGTGTTCACGGACCCGTCCCGCGCACTCGGTGCCATTCGGATCCTGAATACCGAGCCTAGGTCATCCATCGCGGTGCAACGGTACCAGGACAACTATGCTGCCTCCGGAATATCGAAGTTTACTGCCGCCTTGATGCAGAAGCTGTCCATTATCTCTTCGGGTGGGATCGGTGCTCTCTACGCGTTATCTGCGAAGGAGCAGGTCAAGGCATCCCTGTCTGCTTGTCACGCAACTTTGAAGACTGCAGAAGAGGAAGTCAGCACTACAACGTGCTCTAGCATCGACCTAAGATGTAGCGTTGCGGAACTGAAGGAGCGAGTCGAGTCTGAAGTCCTCGGAGTTAATTCCGCGAATGAGGTGCAACGCGCCTTGAACCGTGCAAGGGTGGAAGTGAAAACCGTCTTGGATCATCTGACATGGTGGAGATGTATTTGGCGAGTTGATGATATTGGGGAGACTGTCAAGACAGCAATTGACAAAGCGTGGTGTCGTGAACTCGAAGATAGGGTGAGTGTTGACCATGCTTTCAACGACTACCCTGTGCTAACTTGACCGTAGCTGATCTTCCACAGCGGTCGACTGGCAGTCTCACAAGATACCCTAGCCAAGGAGAGCCAGACGATTCTCACTTCATTTGAATCACTGTCGTTCTTCTATTCTCCCGTACTACACAATACCGTCTCACAGATCCAGGCATCCCCTACATACCCCATCACAACCAGATCACTCACACAACCTTTGTACACGCGCAAAATGCAGCTCGCATACCCAACTAATATGCTGCACTCGACCGCTCAAAGGGTCACGCTCGGCATGGGTACGAGCGTGCTTGCAGGATTCGGCACAGCATGGGCGGGCTGGGCTGAGAGGCTGGGTGTGATTGGAGGTGCGCTCGGCCCGGGCTTGGAGGTGGAGACAGCGGTGGGGATGGGCATGATGATCAGTGCGTTTGGAGTATGGTGGATGGTAGGCCGATGGGAGAAGGCGAAGAAGAGGTGGTGGAGAGATTGGGATAGAGTCGGAGAAGGTCTTGAGCGTGATGTCAAGGTAATTCCATAATTACGTTCACGATCACAATTGCTCATTCATTATCAGGCCCAGCTTCACAGCGTCGTGCAGGAAAAGGTCGTAGCTGTTGCGGATACGACCTATGAAGGTCTCGATCGGTTGGTCCAGGCACGACGGGAAGAGATCGGGCAGCTGGAGAACGAAGTGTTCGCCTTGGAAGATGAAGTCCGCAATCTCGACTCAAAACTTCACCCTAAATTTTAATTCAATTGTCCACGGACTCTTTGCTTTATGCAACACACCCCAGCTACGCAACCGTCTATCTCCGTGTTCCTAGACGTGAAGCTAAGCAGGTGTGACAAGGAAGGCGACGGTGTCGTGGGCGGCGACACTGGTCGAGTAGCTCCCGCTGAACGTGCCTAGGTCTTCACCTGCCCACATGTCGTGCACCACGTACGACCCCGATCCGACAGCAAGCTCAGGGACGAGACTGAAAGTGAAGCTCATCGTCTCGGCATTGCTGGCGGTGTTGATCATGAAGACGTGCACGCCCTTCGCTGACATCCCTGCAAAGTATTGTGGTGGGCTAGTCGGAGCAGCGCCGCTTGACGTAGGTGTGAAAGGCATGGCGGGAGTGCCGATGGTGGCGTCTTGATGGAAGGCCAACAGCTCGGGGTTGGTGACGATGGCGAGCTGGGTGCTGTTCAGATTGCTCAGCTAGCACAGCGCTCCTAATTAATATGCCCTCTCATGAATAGACTACGGGAGTGCTCACGTTGGTTCCTAAAAGGATCGGGCTCTTCATGAAACACCAAGCCGCAAAGTGAGTGCGCTGTTCTTCTATGGTGAGGCCTCCGTTGCCGATTTCCATCATGTCCCTGCGGCACAGAGTTATCGATCGGGCAATGCAAACTTCGCATCTGGAACGTACATGTCGTTGTGGGCGTAGAAGTCCACATAGCTGAGATACTGCGCGTTAGTAGTGAGAATCTGGGTAATGTATCCCCAGCTTGGGGTAGAGTCGCCGGACATGCGCCATGAATGACCCTGCGAGGAAGTCCAGATCAGTAAAGCCACGATTGAAGATTCCCCAAAGAGAAACATACAACCCGGGAGCCCCATTGCCAAACGTTGGCGTCACCCCAGATGCAGAGGCTGAATTGTACTGGACGAGATTGTGCAGCTAGAGCAGCACTTGGACGGATTGAGCGATCACGATCAACGCTAGGTAGAAGCCAAAGACGTACGTCATCTGACGATAACGTATGGCTGAGTTCGAGTCGCTGGTGTGTTGTTTAGTTAGGACTCGGTTTGAGGTCCGGAAATACTCACTACCAGTCGTTGTCCTGCGGCGTGTAAGCATCGGTCCAGTTTGCAGGAACGTTGCAATTATCTATTCAAAGGCTGTGACTCTTGGCCAGAAGATAGGTACTATAGAGCGCCGCTTACCATACTTGAGATCTATGTCGGGATCGATTAGCATCAACGTCACATCTGAGACAATGGCGAGGCCTACAATCAATGCCCCATTCGGTGAAGGTGGCCGCATCGATGGCTTCGTAACCCAAGGATCCCGGAAACCCCGCACATGTCGCGGTCCCCGCATCGCTACAATGTTTTTAGATGATGAGATCCTATACGTATGCACCAGTACCAACCTGTATATGCCTGCTTTCAGTTCCAGTGCATGTATCTGGGTCACCAATCCGTCGATACCATCGGGAAATTTACTAGGGTCCGGAACAATACGCTGCGTAGTTGAATTACGTTGCATTTCAGCCCAGCAATCCTGTGTAAGTTCCAATGCGCGAGGTCATGACGAACGGGCTTTGCATGTGGAATATGGACATACATCGATGTTGACATACTGATAGCCAGCCGCTTGGAGGCCGAGCGACACAATGTCGTTGGCCGCTGCCAAGATAATGTCTGAGCTAATTGCTAGGATGAAGCGAGCAGGTGAGCAAAACGTTGCTTCGTACGAGACGAGAGTAGTACCAACCACACCCGTATGCGTTCCAAGCGTTCCATCCTAGCGCCGGCAGCTTCCCGGTGTCCCGAGATGGGCCGACAGTAGGGGCGGTTGCTGCGATACCTGTCAGAGTAGCAGTGCTGCTGGCGCCACTGGAAGATACAGCTGAGGATGTGTGGGAAGCGGCGCTGCTTGTGGTTGCTGGAGAAGAACTGTGCGCGGGAGACGAAGTGGCGACGTTGCTTGAGGAGGATACTGAGGAGGCCGCCTGCAGGCATTGGGAATAGTAGTCATTCTGGTAAGTGCATAACCATCTGGAATAATGATCGTGCTCAGCGTTCAATAGATAGAAATAGTTGCTTGGGGCCACTGACCCAGACACGCAGGTAGCACTTCCGGTCCAGCCTATCCCACCGCACCTGAGAATATGTTGATGAACAAGATACAGGTGCCGCCTAAGAGGGGCTTACTGGGTCCAAGGCTGGCTCTGAGCACACACTACAGCCAGCAGAGGTGCGAAAATGAGAATTTGGCTGGAAATCATGACGAGGAACTGCGCCGAAGTCGTACTCCAAGGAGAGCTGGGCCTTTTATATGGCTCTCATAACATAAGTAACCGCGTTAGAGTTGTCCTGCGTTAGTCACGGTGACGAGCTTCGCTGCTTGGAGCACATGCGTTGGCCGACAGGTCGCGCTGAACGTGAGCCCTTCGGGGCTTTTACGGAGAGGAGCAGGAGCATCTGAAGCTTGCAATGCGGTTCATTGGCTTACACGCGACAGATGAGGCATTTCCTATCGACGCTTGGGGCAATCAGGCACATCCTCGGGTCGGCAGAATATGTGGACGCACCGTCAGATGACGCCGTAACAGCACTTCTCGGCACATGTTACCTGAACTCCCCTGACTCCTATTCTCCAACAAGTAATTCTCGTTGTGATTAAACGATCGTCTACTACTTTGTGGTTAGCTGCAGGCTCAGTACCGTGTGGAAAACTAAACAACGCCACAATGGTTGGCGGCTACCGGCGCACCGTAGGCTGGTGAAGCTAAAGATCATGATCATTCTCTGAGCCACGGAGTACGTAGTCGCCACCAGAATATGTCGCTCAAAATCTTGCCAAAAGAACGGGGCAAGGATGTACAGGTTTAAGAGAGGTGAAAACGGAGGTGTTTATGCAGCAGGGATGCGAGAAAACGATACCTGGCGGCACAGCTCAAAGCATGACATTAACGCGAATCGCGCGCTAGTCCCGCGTTGGCGCGCCCGGGCTCAATTTCCCGCGCTTAGCCAACAACTACCATGACTCGTTCTACTCGTAACTCATTCTCTAGATGGACCTTATACTCAGCCAGAGTGGATTACTTCGTGCATTGCCGACATGTCTCTAGGAGCAACAATCCACAGCCACTTGCAAATTGACCGGTAGACTGAAGTTGACGTTGGTCGTTGAAGTACGGGCCTGTTAGCTTAGAACATCGCGTCAGACCTGTCGTCTTTAAGCTCTGCCTTCCAGATGGACTACTGGTGGGAGTAACTCTAATTCCTGACGATCTGAGGGTACAATCCGATGCGTCAAGCTAACCTCTGGTATGTTATCCATGGAGATGGCTGACAGGGATCTGGGCTCATGCAAGTCAGCCTTTCCTACGTGATAATCCAGAGCCTCCGAAGTCTTGCACAGGAGCCGCCCTTCGCACGCCACCTCCTTCATACTTTATACTGAATCGCCTCTAATGCGCGGGAGATATGACAATCCGTCAGAAGCATCGTCCGTATTCTCCGCGCCCGCGATGAATAGCCGCGCTAGTTCTGCAACCGCGGTCGTGTCCCCCTTGGAGGACTTTCGAACGAGTCGATATATCAAGCCAGACGTCCTGCCAGAAGAGATTCTCGGAGAGGGTGACACGCCCCTCAAGGATCCAACGTCGAGAGTTCCAGCAACAGGAAATGTTCTGCAAGGTGCAGCTTACTCCTTCGACCCTGAACCAAACGGGCCGTACTTCTCCATTCCTCTGAAGAAGACAGGCTCCAGGGCCCCACCGACTCGACGAGGGACTACGAAGGAGCTTATTGGTCGTTATGAGTCCTTGTCCTCGAGTCATGCTAGTCCCGGAGGGACCACTCTTACGAAAACAAAAACCCGATTATCCTCTGCGACGACTAGAATTGAAGTACCACAGAGACTGGACGAGAGGAAAGGGAAGGGACGATCGCCTATTCGCCAGTCTTTCCGCAATCTTCTCTCGGTCTTCAACAAGAAAGGGAAGACGACACGCGATCGGTCGCTCTACGTCTCCGATCTGCTCACTCCGCCAGAGGAACAGGAAACCAGTAGATACGATGAGAGCGAGGGACTTATACCACCCCCTCCGCCACCGACGAAATCATTTGCGGCACCCCTTCCTCCAATCAACACCGATCCGGGAAGTTTTTTGTCGCCTGCGGGGGGTTTTGAACAGCCTGCGTGCACTACCCCGCTGCCACTCTACACTGGGACGCTTCTTTATCTCTGCAAGCCCGTGACGCCTGACGGCCTCCCCGTGTGGATTAGCTGCAACGCAGCTCTCCACAGTACGCATATCGTCTTGACGTGGTTCTCAGCCCTGGGGAACCCCTCGACGTCACTCGTCCAGCTATCCCAGTGCACAGATGTGCGTTCGCTTGCAATTGGCGACCTAGATGCCGCAGAAGGCAGCATGCTGCCTGAAGACCCGGACTTCAAGGAACCGAAAGTCTTCGAGCTCTTATTCGAAGGCAAAGCTAGAGAGAAGTTTGCTGTTGCGTCGGTCAAAGGACGGGCCAGCTGGGTCAGCGCTATATGGTATGTTGTCTCAGTGAGCTTAGTGTAGCCCTGCAATGAATGACTGTGCTTGTAGGGATGCGATACTCCAGACTAGCGCGCAGAGAACGCCGTCCGTGCGCAGTCCGCCCGCTGGGCCGCAATCCGCCGTCTTGATACCAGATCCCTTACACCCGGCAGCTCGGAATCATATAGAAACATCGAATCAAAGGGACGCGATCGCGGGCGACGAGGAGATGAAGCTACCAGCATCCCCGCCCTCCCGCTCAATCGAACCAGCGAAGGTCCAGCTATTTGATCCCCCGGTGCCAAGGACAACTCCGCCACCTCTAACTCCTGATAAGTCTACGTATTCACGTCTACCTACACCTGGAAGACAGAGCCCGTCTGTTCGTAGCCTCGATCAGATGTCTATTGTTCAGCAACGCTTGGCACAGCTCGAGCGTACGAGCTCCATGAACACGCCATCGCCGTCTTCAGCCAAGTCGACTCGCAGCCGTCAAATTGTCTTTCCGCCGGTATCGCCCGTGAACGATATACCAAGGCAGAGCATCCTTCTACGTCATGGGACCATATCCTCCATCGGTCAAGACTCCATCGTTGATTCCTGCGGCAGCAGAATTCAGTCTCCACTATCTCCCGAGTCGGGAAGGCTGCCATCCATACCATCTGGTCAGTCGTTGGCGATCGAACATGGTTCGTTCATCGCCAGGATCTCGCGACTGAATCCCCCACGGATCCCCGAGAACCCAGATCTCTTTTCTCCTGCGTCCCAGTACTCGGACGTGGCCAAACCGGCCAGTCCAGCTCCCGTGCTGTCGGTGAACACGGACGTACCAGGGAACCGGCCTGTCGCTACCACTCCGACTCGTCTACTTGCAGCATATAGACAACCTGCAGGTCCTCTTGAGGCCACGAATGTTCCGCTACGCGCCAGGACCCCTCCTCTTCCTGTAGCTTCGCCGAATATTGAACCTACTAGGAATCCATCTCCGGCCACTTTAGCTGTCCCTCCTGTTCAGCAGCAGCCGATCAGCCCACCATCTCCGTCTCAGCCGCAGTTTACGGTGCTCCCAGATCCAGAGCAGCATGTACGCCTTTCGAAAATCCGCGACCAAATCTCCGAGATCCAGGAAGAAATGCACAGGCTGCCTAAGACGTTAGGAGCCGTCGTTGCCGATCTGTCTCCTACCGTGCTCCCAGCTCTGCCTCCGAAAGACGACGAAGCGGAGAGGCTTTTGCTCAACATAGACGAGAGCGTCAAGCGCATCGAGGGGCAGGGAGAGGTTAACGCACAGGGCCTCGCGGGCATTCACGCAAAGGTCGATGCCATCATGGCTCTCCGCAAGGCCGACGTGTCTGCGCCAGCCGCACCAGCAATGCCACAAGAGAGGGTGGATGCTATCATCGCGAAGCTCGAGGAACTTGGTGTGCAGATCAAGAACGATCTTCCTGCTTTGTCCCAGAAGCTCGAGGAGCCCGCGGCGCAGAGGGCCGAGCAACTCTTACATGATGTTCCTTCGGCGGAAGCCTCAGTATCGCCTGCACTGCCGCCTCCGGCTGTCGCACCTGAGGAGATGGCGAAGTTTCATGAGAGGCTGGAGGAAATTCTTGCGGCAGTCCGAGCATCTCAAGTCGCCCCGCCCGCAGGCCCTGCCTCAGGCAAGGAGGAGCCATCCGTTGTGGAGACGGCAGATGTTGTTGTGCCCGCAGCTCTTCCCGCGGTAAGCGCTGTTATCTTCGTGCGGTATACACAGCTGACGGGATTGTAGCTCGAAGAGCTACTTGCTCTGGTCAAGGCCGAGAAGGAACAGCGAGAGACTCAGATGGCGGCACAGGCGGACAGCGCGCGTTACTTGAACGAGCTCAATTCCGTATGTTCCTGACACGCTCCGCGCTCGACAAAATCTGAGGTACCTTCCAGTGGCTCGAGACCTTCGTCAAGCACGGCACGTCTCAAATTGAGGCCGTTGCGGCGGGTGTGCAGAACCTCTGCAAGGAGCTCGGACCTATCGAAGCGGTTGGCGAAGACGGTCGTTTAGTTCTTCAGGATGGGTGCAACGGGAGTCTACTCTCAGACGTCAGGCAGCTATTGGCAGAGAACAAGGGGAGCGACGACGAGGTCGCTGCACTCCGGACCTCTATCGACGGCTTGGTGGCTGCTGTGCACGAGAGCGCGCATGCGGCCGAGGCTAGAAATCAATTTCGTGAGTGGTTTGGTTTACAGCTGTGTCCTTTTGGGGACTTTACTGAGCATCACGATTCAGCAACGGACACTATGGTTGCTATGGTCGAGCGGCAGAGGCAGGATCAGGAACACATGCTCAAGACATTGGCGACGGGTACGTTTCTCAAGTAAGCCTAGTCCAAGCCCGCTCACCAAAACTGCAGAACTCTCGAACGACATACGCGGCGAGCGACTGCGTTTCGTTGAAGCAATGAAGGAGGCGACGACCATCAACGTACAGAGTACGTCCTGGTTTCATGCCTACAACCAGCATGCATTGATCCGCTCTTCGCAGTCCACGTCGAAGAGTTCAAGAAGGAACTGACTAGAGAAGTGTTGTCCATGACGCAAGAAGTGACTCGCCTTCAGCGCGAGCGGCAGGCCTTGGAGCAGCAGATCGCCGACCTGTTCGCGTTCTATGCAAAGCAGAAGCAGGCGAATGAGGTAAATCGCCGTGAGACTTCCTTGAACGCGGCAATGTCACTCAGACAGTTTAAGCAGGGTGGGAAGAAGAAAGGGCGGCCTCCACCAGAAGGCGGACCACTCCCCAACGCCGCAGGACGTCGACCGCTTCCAAGTCCTGGTCAGCATGGACCGATGCCGGGTGCCATGTGAATTTTATCATCGAATGTGAATGCATGAGCAACTGTCGTCGGTGTGAATTCTACTGTCCTTATTTCTTGGTCTACGATGATGGAGGTATAGTACATCGAAAGCAGTGCGACGAGATAGCTATAGATGTGTACTGTCCTTAGTCTTCACGATAATTGTAATGGGGCGAATAGTTGAAGAGCTGCGCAGAGTCACCTTGCATACCGGCCAGCGGCGTGAGATGTTCGCGCATGAGGATGATGAGTGAGACCATTAGGCAGTCAAGCAGCCGGTGTCCGACGGGTTCAACCGTGAGCTTTCGCGGCGGAGTGGGTAGGAAAGTAGCAAGTGGCGTTGTGCCGTAGTGAGCCTGGAAGATCGGTTAATGTTGAAAAGCGGACCCACACGGATGTCAACTAACCTGCCAGGAGTTCGGACCCATTTTCCATTTTATACCTCTTCCGGGTCCAATAAAGTATGTGCGCGTGCTATACCCACAGTCAGAACAAACATGACTGGCTGTATGCGTGCCGAACACCCCACACCTGCTCATTGTGCTTTTCCTATAGAAGACTTGATCTAACGGTTGACAGACCTCGCCCACCGTTACAGTAGCGGGTGATGACGATATTCCAAGCCTGAGGGTACGGGGTCTTTGAGTACATGGCTTCTTCTTTATATCAGCAGGCCGCAACTCACTCCAAGCTCGCTATGATGGGTCCAGTCTCGCCCGATCCTCTCCTCACGGTTGTCACTGTCATACTCGGCATCCAAACGTTGACTCCGACACTGATGTGGTATAGCCCCGAGCCCTCCGTGCTGGAGCCCTCTGGGCATAACATCATGGCGAACGGCGAACAGCGTACAAAGCTATACGTGACGGCCACTGGAGGATATCCCACGCTTGCATACGTAGGCAGACCGTCGACATCCGCCTTGCTGAGCAAATCTGGATCTTCAAGCGCTTGGCTCAGGGACGGAGCGCGTTGCGCACTAGAAATATCGCCCAAAAACGACGATGACGAACGTACAGAGCCAGCTTGCCAGCCGGAACCGGATGCCTGGGTGTGCGTTGGAGACGTCAATGGCGTAGGTGTTTGCGGACTCGAGGGTCCTTCTACCGGTATGACAGTCACGATTGGTTCTGTATTTCGTCCACGGAAGAATGAGAACTTTCTCTTCTTCTCCGGTAAAGGAGCATCTTCTGCAAGGACAATACCCTTTGCCGAGGACATGATGAAGAAAACGAGGGAAATGCGATCCAAAGCAAGCCTGACCTGGTATTATGTAGCTTGCTCCCAGACTTTGCTGATAAGGACGGTTGAGATATCGAAACACGTATCGTGTGCCGAGGGCTTATCGCGACACATAATTACGGTTGTCCATAATATCAGCCCGTCTCTATCGCCAGCTGCAGGAGTTAAGGGGCCCTATTCCTATTCTAGGACTATCCACGTTGGATACGAGGCGTGTGCGCGAATTGGCGAATTATGTACGGCACTGATTAGCCTCCTCCTGAGTCGGCGTCTGGCGCGGGTAACTCTTCAAAAGAGAGGATTTCCAGCGTTTGCCGTCCAGTACGATGTAGAGCTCGAGATAAAGCTGAAAGCTGTCTGGCAAGTGTGGAGAGTGTAAAGACCAAGTGGGACGCACGGCGGAGATCTAGCTCATTAACGTAGGGTACAAGCTGGGCGGTAAGACGATCGAGGTACGTCGGACTCCGAGTCTATACCACACTCACTCATGGCATACAGACGGACCCTGTCGCCTCGTAGACGCAGCTCGATGTAAGCTCTGTGCTGCCTCTCCATGTCACACGTGATTACTTAATTCCGCCTTAGCGTGTCCTCGGTTATATCAGCTCTGGCAAGGACCAAGGAGCCAAAGTCGCCGTGGGCGGCGGCCGGCTGGGCAAGGAAGGCTATTTCATCGAGCCGACACTGTTCACGGACGTCAAGCCAGACATGAAGATTGTCAAGGAGGAGATCTTTGGGCCGGTTGGCGTTGTGATCAAGTTCAAGACCGAAGAGGAAGTACTGCAGGCGGCGAATGACTCCACGTACGGCTTGTCGGCGTGTATCTACACCAAGGACTTAGACCGAGTGACGCGCTCTCAAGCTGTTTCTACTCTTGAGTCAGGAAGCGTTTACATACGTACAATATACAGTAGGCACCAGAGGAATGGCTACCGTGCCACCAATCCGTTTCGGGTTTCAGCCCGCCCAGAATGGAAACAGAAACTTGTAGTACGACCGCGTCGACTCTCGATTCCCTTCCAGTCCGCGGCATGCCAAACATGCCAAGCAAGTTTTGGTCTGAAATCTACTATTTTGTAAACCGCCACAGATCCCTACGGAAACGCATCCAATGAAGGCGCTTGCACACGAGAATAACCTCGGCCATCGAGCCTTTATCTCCGTGCTCTTAGTTACGACATCCCCCCCCGACGAGCCGAAACGCAAACCTGCAAGCAGCAGGACTGATGGAGGCCGGTGAGGACGGCGAGGACGGCGAGCATAGAATGTTTCAGTCTGCACAGGAAGGGGGTTTCCACACCAATAATAGAAGAAGGGACTCGTCTGGGGACAGACAATCCATCGCCCCTTGGTCTCGACATCCTCAGAATAGTGACAGTCTGCACGGTACAGTATGACCATCCATATACAGCAGTTTGACAACTCCCTCTTCAAGGGCTCAGTCTCTGTGAACACCAACCTGTTCATCGATGGCGAGTTCGTCGACCCTCTGGAACGACATAACGTAGAGTAGGCTGCAATTCTTATTACCTGAACATCACTAATAATGCCATAGAGTCACCGATCCAAGTAAGAATCTTCAGACTCGATACAGATAGTTGATCTGACCAGTTATTTATATAGCCACCGGCAAGGTCATCACCACCATAGCCGCGGGTGGCAAGAAGGATATCGACAGAGCTGTCGAGGCTGCCCAAAAGGCGTCCAGAACAACCTGGGGCAAGAACGTTTCCGGGGCACATCGCTCGCATCTTCTCTTCAAACTTGCCGAGCTCATGGAGCAACATTGCGATGAGCTAGCAGCACTGGAGGCGCTGGACAGTGGTGCGTTTGGTTGGAGCCATCGTGTCATGGAAATACTGAGGGATGGGATAGGCAAGCATTACATTTACGTGAAGGCAATAGACTTTGCGAGTGCCATCGGCAACCTGAAGTACTATGCTGGCTGGGCCGATAAGCTGAGCGGTAAGACGATCGAGGTACGTCGGCCTGCCAGCACTCCGAATCCATATCACACTCATCGCACTACAGACTGAACCCGACAAATTTGTGTATACAATTCGCGAGCCGATCGGTGTGGTGGGGGCGATCACTCCCTGGAACTTCCCTAGTGAATAGTCTCAGTCTGCCAGCCGCCCCGTTTGGCTGACGGTGTGGTAACAGTGACGATTGCTTGTTGGAAACTCGCTCCGGCGCTTGCGACCGGAAACTGCGTCGTCCTCAAGCCGTCAGAAGTGACGCCTCTTGGGATGCTCAAATTCGCTGAGCTTATCCGAGAAGCTGGCTTTCCTCCTGGTGTGGTGAACATTGTCCCCGGTCTTGGCTCTGTCGCTGGTCAGGCCCTCGTAGAACATCCCGGCGTTGGCAAGATCGCCTTCACCGGGTCGACTCTCACGGGTCGCAAGATCATGCAATCGTCGGGGAACAGTAACCTGAAGCGTGTCGGGCTTGAGCTTGGTGGCAAATCACCTAATATTATCTTCGACGATGCCGATATTGAACAGGCCGTCAAATGGACTGCCCTTGGCCTCTTGTGAGTACGCCTAATGGTAGCCGTAACAATTTGTTGCTGAAACACTACACTGCCAGCCACCATGCGGGGCAGATATGCGCGGCTGGGACCAAAATCTATATTCAAGAGGGAGTTTATGACAAGGTCATGGAGCAACTTGTCGCGGCCGCGAAGGCCTCTGCCAATCCTGGCACCGGGTTTGACCTTACCCCGCAGCTTGACCCTGTCGTCTCGCAGACGCAGCTCGATGTAAGCTCTGTGCTGCCTCTCCATGTCACACGTGATTACTTAATTCCGCCTTAGCGTGTCCTCGGTTATATCAGCTCTGGCAAGGACCAAGGAGCCAAAGTCGCCGTGGGCGGCGGCCGGCTGGGCAAGGAAGGCTATTTCATCGAGCCGACACTGTTCACGGACGTCAAGCCAGACATGAAGATTGTCAAGGAGGAGATCTTTGGGCCGGTTGGCGTTGTGATCAAGTTCAAGACCGAAGAGGAAGTACTGCAGGCGGCGAATGACTCCACGTACGGCTTGTCGGCGTGTATCTACACCAAGGACTTAGACCGAGTGGCGCGCTTTACTTCTGCTCTTGAGTCAGGAAGCGTTCACGTACGATGTCCTTCATCTTTCGGGCGGAGTTGGCACTCATCGCGTTGAACATGATCAGGTCAACATGGCCTCTATGTCTGACCGCCGGGCGCCGACGGGTGGATTTAAGCAATCCGGCTTTGGCAAGGACCAGGGCGAGTACGCTCTCGAGGAGTACGTAATGCTGAATATGAAATAATATTGTTGCATCCTGACCCGATCATATGCTACAGCTACACTAACATCAAAGCTGTTACGATCAACCACGGCCAGAGGCTGTAGATGGGCCTTCGTTGAACTCGGCCACGTTGTATTATATGTTATCCGTTGGCTTTACCTGCTTCGCAAAGGTTGCATAACAGGTATATTATATAATAACCGCGTATGCGCATCTGCATCCAAAGAAATTCCAGCAATAACGTGGCTATAGATGATCCTGGATTCCATATCGCCGCGTTCATGTGCCTCGGAGTGCTTTGATTATTAATATAGATTAAATTCAAGTAGAGGCATAACAACGAGACTTACTCTTACTTACTATGGCTTTCAACGCGCGCCTAATATCAGCTACCCGGCATTCTCCGCTAGACAACTCGGGAAATCCAGCTGGACCGCACCACACTCACCGCAATGTCTGCGCTTCGTCTTGCCTCGTCTTTGACTCGGAGGGCACCAAAAGCATTAACTGCAAGCCGTCGTGGTTATGCTGAGGCTTCCGACAAAATTAGGCTTTCCCTTGTCCTTCCCCACCAGGTACGCGACGACATGCGACAACATTTGTGTTCAAAACTCAGCATGCTCGTAAAACATACAGGCCATCTTCTCCTCGACTGATGTAGTTCAGGTCAACCTCCCCGCTGCGACCGGTGACATGGGTATTCTTGCCAACCACGTCGCTAGTATCGAAGCTCTTCGCCCTGGTGTTGTAGAGGTTATCGATTCCGCTAACGCGTCGAAGAAGTTCTTTGGTGCGTGCACTACACTGTGTGTGCTTGCTTATTGGCTCATCTACTTCACCAGTTTCTGGCGGCTTCGCTACTGTACACCCCAACAACAAGCTGACCGTCAACGTCGTCGAGGCCGCCCCGCTTGAGTCCTTTTCCGCCGAGGTGCGTCGCTCTGTACTTATATACGCTTTCATACCGACGAGCTGTCCTTTCGCCATTCTAGGCTGTTCGTGCTAACCTCCAGGAGGCTCAGCGTGTCGCAAACGGCAATGGCTCAGAAGAGGACAAGCTTGAAGCGCGCATTGAGACCGAGGTTTACGAAGCTCTTCAGCATGCTTTGGGTTGAATATGCTAGAGTGTACAGCTCTACTTTTTCCGTCCATAATGCATAGACGTTGAAAACATTACGGGATTTCTGAGAACATCTGTGTGAATTTGCCGTGATGCCGACGCTTTGGCGCTAGAGCTAGAGCAAGGTCCGTGTAAATTGCCGCGTTCGCCAATATTGTAGAGTTCCGTGTTGAACACGGAGTCGGTTCTCTGGTCCTGGATGCCAACCACGACGTGCCCAAACTCGTCGTATCTACCAACGTTTTTTCGAGACACCTTTCTGCATTCGTTTCGCTGACTCTTGCCAAAACCATCGACCTTTATTTCACGCGCATTGCGCAATGGTGTTAAGAATTCCCGAAACTGTGAACGATGTCCGCCTGCTGGAGGACGAGCCGTTTAAGAAGCACTTCACGGACGAGATAAATAGTGGACGAGTACGACGTCAAAGACCGAATACGCGTCGGCCGCTATTCAAAAACATCGAGGAAGCTCTGCGCAGTGAATCAGGCGGCGTACGTCCTGTCAGCTCTCCACGGTTCGGCTAATAATCTCAATTTCTGCAGCTAGACGCGGCTCGTGCATGGCTCAGGACGGTGTTCACGTTCAACAGTGAGCCGCGCTTGGAGTCAGAAGACCTAGACGTTTTCATCGAGTTCTACTGGATTCTGCGCCAAGGCGGCGGTGCGCGGTCCGTGGAGCCTCTGCTCCTTACGGCAAGCAGGTCCCGAGACCTCCCCTATACATGTCCCTTGGACAAGCCAATTGTCCTCGACCCGCGCGAAAGCCAGGAGACGAACAGCACTCGTCCAATTTCACTGGCCAATGTTTCTGCACCTAAGGAGAAGAAGCCGCGTCATAAACGTGCCCGTGCTGCCAAGCGTCGCAAAAACGAACCTCAAAACGCGTACGATGGAGAGCCGGAGGATAACGACTCAGACGCAGAGTTGAATGTCGACGCGTCTATATCTGCACCGATGGCGCCTCGAAACCCTTCAGTTCCTCCGCCCTTTGTCTCTGCCCCTGTTTGTCGGCACACTGCTTCTGCGAAATCTGCTACGACACGGCCAGGGCGTGAGAGGAAGCGTAAAGCCATCACGCCTCCCCCCGGTCATGGCGCATCCTCCGACGGCCTTGCTGAACTCTCGTCGCTTACTTCACTGGAGTCGGATGCAGAAGATGCCACGCCTACACGGCTTTCTTCCCCGGTTATGGCTTACCCCCAAAGGCCTAAGCGACAGGCTTCCAATGCCGCCAGACTATCCGATCTAATAGCTATGGAAAATGATTACGAGAAGATGAAGTCTAAGTGTCGCAAGGGCAAGTCTCACGTTCCAGGACGACAGTCGGCCCCGCCTGTCCCGAAGGTTCCGAGAGAGCCTACTACACCCATCCAGAACGTCCCTAGCAAAGCGGCCACCGTGAAAGCTTGCTCTTCGTTAGCTCTGAAGCCGTCCGATAAATGCGTGAGGGCTTCCGCACCTATCTCGCGCAGGACTCAAAGGTCGCCCCGCCGCTCAGCCGTGTCTGCTAAGAAGCCTAAGTTTGATGCAGACGTTGGGTCTACCGACGGCAGACCTGTGAAGAAGCGACGCGGGAGCGGTGGTGATACTTTGGTCGATACACCCACCTCAGATAGTGTGTCTGTACCGGTTAAGCGCAGTCGCGAGAGCCGAGCAAGAGTCCAGACCGCTCCCCCTATTCCCTTTACTGGGTCATCTGCAAGTTGCAAGGCTCCGATAAGCACCGTGTTCAAGGAGCGGGGTAGATCTCAAGGATGCAAGCGTGCACGAGAACAAGAAATTGCCGAGCAGTCCCAGTCGGCAAAGGCCTCAGAGGTACTACAGGAACGTCTGATTATCAGGATTAGACCACGTCGCCAAGCGGCTATAGCAGCTACAGCACTCAACGCAGAGTATGCTAAAGCAGACGCGGAATTCAAGAAGCAGCCTGACAAGCTTGGCCTCGTGGATATCGTGTTCCGCGATACCGCGCGCAGTGCTCCAATGTACTCTAACTGTCGAGATCCAGAGGCGAGCGACTGGACAGCGGATCTAGACGATACACAGCCGGGCGATTCTGGTGATGAAGATACACCTCTTGCAACGGGACTCCGCAGGACAGTAGCCGAGCAGGTTGCAGCCCCGCCACCTCACTCCGCGGCCCAGGATCAGGCAAGCGGTCCCCAGGAGACGCGCATCCTCGAGGAAGGCAAGGTTGACGAGCCCACGGACGCGTACGTGAGGCGGCAGGACGAGCAATTTGAGCTGGTATATCCACAACTGACTCATTGTCCCGTCTTCGACTCGACTCTCAACACCAAGCCGTTCGCGCCGAAGCTACCCTTGCTGCGATTACCGCCCATATGGGCGCAGGTAAGTCTCGGACTCGCTTAGTTCGCGAAGGTAGGCCATTGATAGTCACATTAGTCGAGGCAAGAGGTCTGCGAATCCTGCGACTGGTTCCGTAGCTACCAAGGTGGTGTCTATTTTGTTAAAGATCTTGTCAGAGGATATCTGTTGAGCGCGTTTTCCGCAAGGTATAATTCTCTTGTACAGTTGCGTGTTCATCACTGACTCTTCGCATAGTCGAGACTTGTTCCATAATGGCGGAAAGCTTATTATATCTCATGGGTAAGTGGTAGACAATCTTTCACGTCGAAGTAGCGACATTAACGGGCACCGCAGAGGAGGCAAAGCGGGCCAGTCATTGGCGAAGGCTCCTGGCACTGTTCGGGCAAGCGATCAGCAGGAGGATGACAAGTCCGTCAGGGCCCTCCTGCACAACTATCGAATTGGTCGTCCCCTCGTACTCATCGTCGACGACAAATATTCGCTCTTCCCATATGATCTCGCGGCGAAAGGTGTAACCTACGCTGTATTGGGCTGGTATCAAATTGCCCATGCCTGGGGTAAGCTCGACTTTGATGATCACGGGTTCTATTACTGACTATAACTCAAGCCGAGTTACAGGCAGATGCATCGAGTTCCACGGGTAAGGTTGTCAGGTGGAAATTCGCCTTCCAGTGGTGCGACGCACAAGGTTCTCCGTGGTGGAGCGACTCATGTCCGACAACAGGCAAGTACACTTCTGACCTCTGCTATATGAACTAGTCTTAACTACATAAATTTCTGCTGTAGAACCGTCCACGAGTACAAGTGTCCCTGGTAAGTAACACGCGAATGGCTGTTTCGTCGATACTAATGGAGCATCAGAGGCTAGCGCAGATGTTTGCGCCCAGGCTGAGCAAGTCTGTGAACACTGCAGGTTTCCCTCGCCGCAGGTATACGACGTGGGCTGGATGTGTCTCAGGCCGAGGTGTCCTGTCTTCTGGTATTTCAGGAGCGCAATCGAAGCTCCCACATCCCTCAGCTACGCAGCTTCATTTTTGCGGCCTGTGACAATCAGCGCCGACCAAATCCTAGAAGATCTCCGGCCGGGCCTTCCTGTTGCTGGTGTCCCTATCGACCGCATTACGACTGGTCGGCACTTTTGCAAAGGGCTCCACTGCACAAACTGCGGACGACTCTCGAGCAGGTAAGCAGCACTTCCCATGGCACCAGTGCCAGCTGCTCATGACGATACAAGGTATAAATGGGAGCACTGGGAATGTCGTTCATGTTCAGTAAGTTCCTCCTCCATCTGATTGCGCTTGGTATCCTGACAAGTCGTGCAGTTCACGTATGCCGTTCCGGGGCGCTTACGAGAGGCCAGAGAATTCCGCAGCCAGAAGAGCGACAAGATGGATAAGCATACACATCAACCCAGTGAGTGCTCTTCCCACGATCGCAAGATCGCTGGCCAACAATCTCGTTAGGCCTCGAGCTGCTACCTCTTGCCGTATTTAGGAGTGGAAAAGCCTTGGGGCAGCGGGCCACTTTCAAACTCCCAGGTGAAAGGTACGGGCAGCTCGCCCGATCCGAGCAAAGCTACTTGACGCAGAAATAACACAGAGGGTACATTCATGTCTTATTTGCGGCGCCCAACATGAATCAGGAAGCGGACATCACCCTCCGCGAATATCAAGAACAGGCCGCTACCGGGCAGTTAGAGTTCCGGAGATGGCCTTTACGTAGCGTGAGTCTCCGTCGCACATCCTGTAGTACTGATAGCTTACCTGTTGTACAGCACAAATGTCAGTTTTCGTCCACAATGTCACTCGCGCTGCTCACCAATTTCTAGGCAGAGGCACCCTGTTGGCGAACTATTTCTCACAAAACAGTAAGTTACTACAGCCGCCCATCTCTTCGGCAATGCTCATGCCACGAACAGCGGGGGCACCGTACCATGTACGAAACTTAATTCTTTGGGTTGCACTTATTGACCGCCGCTTTGACCATGCAGTATATAGCAGGCGACGAGAATACAGTGCCTTTTGACCGTGCCCCATCGGCCGTCAACCGCGCACTCAACCTGATCAAGCAGCGCATCCAAGAAGCCGGTCTTGACATCCCACCCACTTTCAATGAGGTGCTTACGGCGGCTTATATGGAGAAGCAGAAGATGGCTGTAAGTTACTTAACCCGATTCAACATGTTGCATAACCATGTGTCAGTTCCATAGTGATGCTGAGAGAGGGCTGGGGCCGAATGTTGCCTCGCTATCGCTGGGCGCTGCTGCTCACATGCACTTTCGCTTGCACGCACAATACGCTGGTGAAATTCAGCCTTCACAATCGCGAGATGTGCTGACACTGTTCCTTAAGCATGCAAGTTTTCACTTCTCGCTTTGTGAATTTCCGGTGCTCACTGCTAGATAGGGAGATGTGGTGGTGATGGAGGGCACTGGCGTCCAGAAGTACTATGAGTGGGTTGAGACTTCCCGGACCCTTCCCTTACAGGATACTGACAGCTGCACTTGTAGGCACACGGTTGTGCCATTAAATTTCCGCATTGCTGCTACGGCGCGGTTTATCGAAACAGAATATCACGGTATCTGAGGTTTGGCGTATTTTGCAATATTACAGGCTATGCATAGATTCTACAACACAGTTGCTTACTACCTTGAGACCATTCAAGTTCGAGCCCCTGATCGACTCTCACGCGGGGCGCGACAAGCGTCGTGCACTTCGGGCGAATACTCGAGGGCGAGTTCGACAGCAGAAACCAGTCGCGCGTCTTTCTTCCAGGTGACTCGTATCCGGAGCACTCTAACTCTACTTGTAGTCATCATTGTCGAATGCTTTGGTTTCCGGTGAGCACGCCACCAGTACTGGTACCCAGGGCTGCAGATGTCCTTGCTAACTGCCATCCACCGGTTCGCCGATGTTCTCCGTGGCGCAAGCGATATCCTGGTGGCATGTTTGCCGGCTAAAGAAAATCGACCCTTCGTGTACTTGCAGAACATTTCTCATCCCTCAAGAGCTCTGCTTCGAGTACCTCGTCACCAGCTACAGGAGTCTCGTGCTTGATACCTTTCTCAGAAGCTTGATCGCGGTCAACACGCCCTGGTAGACATCGTAACCCTCGTCACAAAGATCTCGCTGGAGCGTTCCTTGGAGCGTTCCTACACCAGCTGGGAATGTGGTGGCGTGCGCTGAGGATGGTCCGCTGATGGAGATGTAGGTGCCGCTAGTCTATGCTCGCGGGATTGTTGCGCACTTCAAGGCCGACCCTGAGCAAGTTTAGGATGAAGGTGTCTCTGGCTACGAGATCCAGCAGACCCGGACATTTGCAGTCTAGGACCTGAATCTTCCGATGTTGTACATGATGTCCACTCTAGCACAGTACCCTTAGTGCCATCTTGGCCGATCCCACGTGCTAAAGTCGCTCATGAGTCGTGATACCCATAGAACTACAGCCTGATATTCCCACTTTCATCTACGACCAGCGTTCGGGGTCGGGCGACTCGCTACTTGACAGCTATCAGACTCATTCGGTCTACAGATTATCTTATGGCTGGAAAGAGTCAGGAACGTAGTACGTCTGGCGAGTGTTTACCGGCAACGTGCAGTATGTCGGTCATCTCTCCCTTTTTGAAGCCCTGGAAGTACTTCTCTCGGAAGTCCTTGTGAGCGGGAATATGTGCTGAAGTCTCGGTAGCGGGAATATGTGCCGAAGTCTCGGTAGCGGGAATATGTGCCGAAGTCTCGGTCGCGGCAATAAACGGCATCGTGTCGAATGTTGGCGGAGGGAATTTGTCTGACGTTGTCTTCTTGATGGTGATTAGCTGAGAAATTAAAGATCAGCCATTGCAAATATTGAAGCATGCAACATGATTGACTCGGCGACCCCACGACCCGAAATCTTGCAACGAATTCGCAATGACTTCCATACCGACGCACAGCAAAGTTTGAAGATCAAGCTCTGCGTACTCGTCTGTGACGGTGGGCAGGAAGAACACAAGCCGTCCGCCAGGCTTCAGCATGTGACGTGCAAGAAGAACGAGGTCTGTTGCCAATGCAGAAAGCTCGTAGGGTTTTGTTGGCGGGATATATGGTTGATCGTCCCTGACAGAGCCCGCTGAGTTCCAGCGCAACCTCAGCAACGGAGCGTAAGCTACCTACTGCCTGTTTGTAGCATACTGTTGTGAAGGGCGCGTCAAAGGATTCTTGCGTCCGAGGCGCTTCGCGCCAGCCCGCACACCATCTGAACAGGATGAGCTTGGTCCGATCCGTAGATGTATATGGCTCACATGGAGGGTCAGTTACAATCGCGTCAAAGAGCTCGCCACATCTCCAAGGATTCCTTGTCACGTCAAAGGTGCACAAGTCTATAATACGCTGCTGCACACCGTACTGTGCAGCGGCTCGCATAATGCCTGGTGTCTTGTCTATACGAGCATGAGACATAGGAAATGGGAATGTTTCGGAACCTACTGACCTTTACCGCGCATTTGTCTTCCGTCAATATCTGAACCGTAGACATACGCCCCAAAGTATGCAGAGGTCTGCGTAGAGATTTATCAGCGCATTCGCATAGTGAAGAAGTAGTTGACCAGAACTTACGTAGGCCATACTGCCTGTGCCGATGAAGGGATCGTATACTAACTTCCCGGGGGAGGCCTATCACGTCCCGTGAGCTCCATGAGCATCTCAGGCGTATCAGAGGAGTTCATAAGACATACCAGGGTCTGATTGGCCATTAGAAGCGATATCTCGGCCTCCATGCTGGTATTGCCATAGTACGTTCGTTTCTTCACGTCAAACGTCTGCACAAGTTTCCGGGCCGAGCCTTCTTCTATCTGAGAATGTATCAACACCAGCAGCGACACAAGATTGATAAGACGGGTAGGGAACATACCAACCTGCCGAAGAAGATTTCGACGAAACTGCCGTCGCCTTCGTGCTTGTGGCGTGTCGTACCGTGCTTATCTGGGTCTTCACCTGGTCTTCAGTACTACACAATACACAATCAGAATAAACATGGTACTCACATTCCTCAAATACACACAACGTTATCTCTGGGTTCCGCATATTAATCTCACCAAGAAAGTCCATCCACGCAAAACTCTCGACCACTTCCTTCTGGCGGTACTGGGGAATTGAGTGGTTGTATGCTTCGACCTTGAACTTGAACGATGTTTCTTGGACATATTTTGCCCAGCGGTGCCCATTCTGCTGCGTCTGTGCAAAAAGGTCTTCGTACGTTTTGCCACGGCCGTAGAATTCGTGGACGGACCTAGCTATGCGGGGGCTTCGTAAAGCAGGGAGATTACGTGAATGAAGGAAGAAGCATACTTTATGAGAATACATTTCCTCGCCAGCTTCTTCGCGTCCTCCTCGCTCTCGAGACCTAGGACCATGAACGGGCGAGAGACATCGAGCTCTGCGGGTATCCCATAGAAAGCGATCTTGATGTCATAGAGCTCAGCGACAGACAACACCTCGGGTACCCGGAACTCGTCGTGCTTCTGGGCAAACACGAAGAGATAGTCTGTTATCATGCTTGCTACTCAGAGGATTGTGGAGAGCAAGGTGATTGGGAGAAAAGAGGCTCCTGCGGCGCTAGCCAAAATTGTGCGCGAGCGTAAATCGAGTGAAATTTAGGGACGTGTGACAGGTTTATTTACAGTATACTAGCAGTGGCGATAACGTAGACGAGAACAAGAATTATATGAATCACCAAAGCCTCGTCGTACAGCGACGATCGTTATTAGTACGAGTACTAGCGAACCGTGACAACTGTCCAATAATAAGAGATAGGAACCAAAGCATCTCAAGCCAAAACTGGACTGCTCTTCTTGAACTTCCTGCTCGGCTTCTCAGGTTCAGGAGATATCGAACGCTCCCTGGACACGCGCTGTATGCGCCACTCTAGTAGCTCAGCGTACTCGCGAAGCCTCCGGATAAGAGCCTCAAGCTCGTGTTTGACAGGCACCAGACGACCCTCGGCATCGGTCTTCATCAATAAACCGTCCGCCTCGACATCAGAGAGCTCAGACAGTGGCGAGGCGTCCCTGGAGAGCATCGACGGGGAAGAGAAACCGTGGATCTTCTTGCCTTGACTCTTAGCACTCTGCTTCGCGGCCCCGGGGTCGACTTGAGCCTCCTCGTGTTCACCAGCGAGGCCACACTTGATTGTGAGCCACTCGACGAGTTTCCGAACCTCGCCAGGCTGCCAAAAGCCCCACCAGGCCTCATCTCGCTCGTCGTACGATTCCTCGGCTTCATCTGCACCCTCAGGCTTCTTGCCCCAGACGGCGATGAACCAAGACCAGCGTGCCATCTCGCTGCGGTCGTCTTCCGTCCATTCGCGCTTGCGCCCGATCCTGACGCGGGACTCCTTGCCGTTGAGAAATTCTATCGCAGCGTCGCTCTCGCCCACACCTGGGGTCATTGCATAGTACACTCGGCCTTCGAAATCTTGTCCAAGGGGTGCCCATCGAGGGATACATCTAGTCGAAGCCAGCCGCTGAGAGAACTCGATGTTGCGGAGGAGCCTACTGTGCTGGTCGCGCCGCTGTTTGTCCCTAGTGCCGGAGAAATCTTTCCACCGGGTGTTCTCCTTGGTACTAGCTTCCTTGGCGATCTTGTTCAATTCTTTTTCTTCAGTAGAGCCGGAGTCGAAAGCTTCCTTGATGGTAGGGGACGGTATAGCATGTTCTATGAGATTGGCAATGACGGGTACGAGCTGGGCAGAGGCTGAGATGTAGATGCCTTGAGAGTCGTTGCCGTGCATTGCACTCCGAGTGGTACGAACAGTTGTGGACGCCGGCGGCAGCAATGGGTCCGGGAAGGTGATGGTGGTATCAGCCCCGAGAGCTTCGCGGAGGGAGATCAATGAACCCCAGACGCGATTAAGGTTTGAGCCACTAGCCTTCACGGCTTTGACAGACTCTTTAAGGGCCCTCGCAGCGTCGACGTCACCCTCGGCGTCGGCAAAGTTGGCGATCGCGTCCAACAAGCTTTGGATGATGAACCTGGCGCACGACTCGCTAACCCAGGAAACAATCTCCGCGCTGTCGTCCACATCAACATCCCATCCCCCCGCAGGACCAAGGCTATCGCCACAAACTTCATCCAATTCGTCGAGACAACCATGGGGAAGCTGCAAGATAGATGCGAAGCGAACGATGAACTCTCGAATATGCAGCCGGGTTTTCACATCCTCAAGAGCAAGACTCGTCGGCACGCGCGTCCACAGAGGTTTGGGGAGAGGTTTGGCCTTGGGTACCAGTTTCGGCTTAGCCTTGGACTTCAGAGCAGTGTACGGTGCCTTCGCAGCCTGAGCTACTTCAAGCTCTGCGGCCTTCATGAGCTTACTTGCTCCCTTTGCAGGTGATTTTTTCGCCTTAGATAGCGATGATGAGCCTGCTTTCAGCGTCTGCAGAAAGCCTTGAGTACTTCTGTTCTTTAAATAGAGGGAATCAAGAGAAGTACCTGCTCTCGAGCCTTCGCTTCAGCCTTTTCCGCCTGTCTTGCCTTCTGCCTCAAATTTCTGCATTTCCGAAGGTCAGAGTTACGTAAAAAGTAACGGCTCAGTCACAAACCCTATTGGCTCTAAGCCCCTTGCTCTTCTGCATACATGGCAGTCGCATTGATTTCGGCAACGATAACACCTATATTCACGTTAGAGAGACACGAAGACGCATAAAACTGGCCGCTTACTCAAACCAGTATCCGCTTTCTACCATATGACGCTGTCTCTGCTCCTTCGGGAGCTCAGTAACATCGCGGGACAAAATAGAGTCCTGGGACTCTAATCTGCGATATTTCTGAACGCAAGAGAAGCAGTAATGGGTGGAGCACCGTTCATCTGTCGTTTTGGACCTCGCACGAGTAAGAGTGCAGCGGAGACCCTCTACGGGGAGACAGTGAGGACCACAGAAAGATAGAGTGGCGAATGAAGCACTTACGACCGTTGGGCCACCAACGTTGACAGTGATGACAACGGAAGGTATTATCATCTTGCTTTGTGCGAGCTTTGATAGCATTGGCAGCTTTTAGCTTCTGAAGCTGCGCAACCCCCTCTTCGTCGGGCTGTGGAGCGGCTGGATCCAACCTCGGCTTCTTGGCCTTGGTTTTGACCGGCTCAACGTTTACATCTGCGCTGTCACCTTCGCTAGCCTTCCGCTTCTTTGCTATTTTCGAGTTATTATTGAGCGTGGCCATCTGCGACTGGCTGTTCATCCTCGAAGGCCGCAGCGGCGTGTTCTCCTTGAGGCTCGGCCCAGGACTGGATTCGTCTGAGTTTCGCCTGTGGACAGCGGGTAGTGGCACGTCGACAAAAACCTGAGAGCATCTACGTGAAAAGGATTGAGAGCTTTTTGCTTTGTCGGGCATGTTGCGAGATGGTTGTGGTTGTGATCCAAGCCAAGTAGGTCGCGTCCATCCGCTATTAGAACGCGCCATGCACGTGACTACGCGTCTACCCTGCCCTAAATCCAAATTACGGCGTCTAATCTCAACTCCGGCGCTTCGAAAAGTCTCCCTGCTTTCGTAGCATACGCTCATTCAGCAACCTCCTCTCGCAAAAGTCATGGCTCACGCAGACCACACTCGCGATCCTTGGTACGTACATATTGTTTGTAAACATTATGTGGGGCATGTTGAACATCCTCATTCAGTCCATGGGTCGTCCTCTCTGATTTCGGGAGCGCATTCGCTATGGGTGCGGTCGGTGGGACCATCTGGCACGGCATAAAAGGTGCACGGAACTCACCAAGGGTAAGCCAGTTTGTACATCCGTGTGATGGTCTTGTCTCATCGTTGTTGTCTTCAGGGTGACCGTTTTGTCGGAGCGATGTCCATCATCAAAGCTCGTGCACCGGTGACAGGCGGCAACTTCGGTGTCTGGGGTGGCATGTTCTCTACGTTTGATTGTGCCGTAAAGGGATGGAGACAAAAGGAAGACATGTGGAACGCCATTATCTCTGGTTTCCTGACCGGCGGTTGCCTTGCTGCTCGAAGTGAGTCATTCTTCGCTTACTGCCTTTCTTCAGTTTTGGCCGTTGTTGAACACTGGGGTGTTCTGTATGTTCTGAGCTGTGACTGAGGATTCATTGTGTAGGTGGACCACGATCTGCACTCGGATCAGCTATTGCCTGCGGTATTTTGCTGAGTGTATTTGAGGGCGTTGGTGTCCTGATATCACGAGTATTTAACGATAACACGAGGCCCCAACTACCACCATGTAAGTCTGCACTGCTTAGTGCTAGCGACATACTAACCATTCGCTTCCTAAGTACCCGAGAATATACAACCGCAGCCTGCACACGCATCATGAACTCCCTTCGCTTTTCCACCCTAGCTCCTGGACCTTAGATGTATTAATTCCTGCTCTTCTGCTGTCGCTGTCCACTCGCTACTCATCTTCTATGCTATACCTATTCAATGTGTTCCAGGCCCTGAAATCAGCGTAACATCGGATTTGTGTGAAGTCGTAAAAACGTACCGCAAGTTCCTCCCGTAATGAGCGCCGAAAGTTGAACACTGAGCGCTGAGCACCGAGTAGGCTAGTTCCATCCCAATTTCGTAAGATACACGTCGATGACAAATATGTGCTGTGATATCTCATAGGCTATCGAAAGGTATGCCGCACAATTTGGTCTATCTTCACCAGGACTTTTTCCTCTTTGCCGCGAATCTCGTCAATACTCTTATATCCCGACAAGCCCAAGGTGATTGCAATCATGCCTTTAAGAATATCCTTGGTACTCTCTTGACTTCCAACAGAGGCTGCACATAAACGGACGACCCATTGCCACAACGTATTTAGTGCATAGCCAACAGGGATAAGCGTCGACTTATGCAAAACGCCTTGTGCACTGAGCGCAATAGCCTTGATTTTATCACCGCTGGTGCAGATACCAGCGTCAAATAGAATGGCGAATTTACCACTGTCCTGAGCGGCATGGGCCTATGAGGATGTGCATATCTGCTGCGGAGCTCAGGTGGTCAAAATCCGGATAGTGCGGGTCCCTTCACCTGACATCCGCCTTGCAAGAAGTCAGGCGACCGCCCAGCTTGCTGACGTGGATACGACGATTCCGTCAACAAGGGTGTCAATCGGCGCAGTCTCGACGTTCTCGACAGTTCAGGATGAACGGGTCGTCCCAATTATCCCGGACGAACTCTAGGTGCTCTCAGGGGTTGAACTTGCCTGAGTTGTTTTTGTTGGAGTTACTTAGTTGCCATCCTGACTGTGCGCTGGAGCTTATCATCGCCCTGCTCGTACAGGCGGCCCATGCGCTGTAGGTCGTACGGGAACGCCGGCACGTCGAGAATCGGCTTCTCGCCGTAGTTCTTCAAGAACGCAGGGTATGAGAGCTCGACCTGCCAGCCCACGCCGTGGACGAATGGAAGGTTAATATGATACCGACAGGTTGTGTTGGCCGGTCAAACATAATTGTGTCAAATGTCACAGTGAGTGCGTTGAAGTCGCTCGTCTTGCGGCGCGGCGCATATTGGACAGCGTGCAGTCGTTATCTACTGGCCTCTATTACCACGAGTACGTGAGTGCAATTTGTGCCGACTGACCAGTATGTTTGATACAAGCGATAACCTTCACCGTTTGCTTGTCAGACTATCCCGGCAGAACGGCTCAATCCGCTGGACATCGTGTACGCCATGGTCTTGACGTTGATCGCTGTGGCAGCAGTGGCCAGCTCTCCGTCGGGATGCGTTAGCCCTCGGATATCGATAGGAGTGACAATGGCCAGTGCATCATGTTCCCTGCCAAACAGTTCAACCTACAGCGGTTTCTGGTTCGCGCAGCATTCTCGGGACGAACTTCCATTTATCCAGTTACCCGTGCTCGAGAACACATACAAGAAGACATTCATGCATGTATCTTAGCAGAGTCTTTACACCCAAACTTGGGCCGTCCTTTCAGCTTCTCCTTCTCCTTCTGCTCGAGTTCGTCTATGTACAGTGTGCCGAGCACAGGCGGCTTCCTAGATGTCGACTATGTACTGCGTGTACCATATAGCGACTTGGCAACTTGCTTCCAGCTTGGGACGCGGAGGCCTGACTCGGTCGAGTATATGGCTCCACTAGGTGAACACAACATACTACTACGACGCGCCGAGCACTGAGTTCCAGCGTGATGGCGATCAAACGCAGTGAAGCGAGTAAAATTGACGATCAGGGTCTTTTTGTAAAGCGCCATAAGAACACTTGGCCGCGGAAGGAGCAGGGTGGCTCTGATGCAATAAGACCAGGAATTCTTCGACTCCAACCAAGGTCCAGTCTTGCTGAAGCGAACATGATTCAAGTCCACAGGCGTATAAGGGTTGAGATTGCGACATAGTGTCGGGAGCCGTGCGTCACTACAAGTCAATGGAGATTTAGGCCCAAAGCCGGTGAACATGCAAACAGCGCACCATCCGTACTCGAGGTGAGGCAGCCTTGACAGCCTTAGAACGATAATATGCGGCATACATCCCTGTGACATTCACGAAGTCGATGGTCAGTCAGGACCTGGTTGCACCTCGCAGGTGGACGACGTACTTCGGACGAACACTCCGCAAGATGATACAGTCCTCGTTTATCTGATAGCCATCTTGCTGCGAGACTTCGAGGTTGGATACAGTCTTCCTGAAGGGGAGGGCGGTCTTGATGGGCTTCGTCCATACGTCTAAATGATTAATCTCTGAGGACCCTAGGCCGTAGAATGGAAGGTCCGCTACCCCCGCCACACTTCCGGGACAGACCGGGTTGCTCAGCTCTTTGCGCAACAGCAGCGGCGAGGCAAACTCGTAAAGACACAAGACGTCCTGCTTTCGTCCGTGGGATCTACTTGGCGCAGGCTCTGCAATGATGCAACGCATTTGCGACAGATGCGCATGGTGCATGGTACGTATCTCGGGGACCATCCTAGACATGCTTGCCCAAGCATCCCACTCGACTACCACTGTCCTCTCGCTCCGTGACGCACCGAGTCGCGTGGTCCTGGCGACATCACGTAACGTCCTGCTAGAGACGAAAAGAGTGTAGTGTTTCCACTCATCAGTGCTCTTGAGCATCCATAGGCGGAACGCGAGGAGCTGGTCTTCCGGAGAGGCGTAGTAGGGCACGTCCAGTTTCCTATGCGCTCCGCGAGGGAGTGACGCGTACGGTGTCCCGAAAAGGTCCAGTCTGGCGCATTCAACCCCTCGCCGTGTCGCAGGGAGGTGAAAGACGGTGGTTGCATAGTGCTTTAGGGCATGTTCGTACGTGCAGGGTCTGGATCGGGTTGTGGCACAGTCAAAGACAGGGAGTACGCCTTTAACCTCTGCGTCTGGATCGAAATCGTCCGCTGTCGTAATTATAGGCACTAGCAGTTGCCCAGTGCCAATGAACATGAAGGAATGCGAAGAATATCCGTGCTCGAGGTTACCATGCACATTCTGTGGTCGAGAGCCAATAGAAAAATAATCGATTCTTTTCCGCGAAGATGTCCCGAAGAGACTTACGAGCTTCACATCGCCGGTCTTCCAATTCCAGATCCAGAGCTCTGTGAACCGCAACAGTGTTTCTTCGTAGATCATCATGCCGATGTAGTCATCTGAGATCATCATGTCGAGGCAACAATCTTCCTGCAGCTCGCGGGTACCTAGAGGAGCAGACATCTTGACTGATGATCCAAGAGGGTGCAGCACATTTGACTCGAGTGAGCGCAAATGAAGGTTGAAGAAGTATTGTTCTTCATCCGCCCTGCATCAGCAACGTCAGAGACTGACTCAATCGACTGGACTAGATACTCACGTCTCTTCGACAAGGACGAGCAAATCCTGCCCCTGGTCGAGGGCGTACTCGATGACCTCGAACCCAAACCTTCCGCTGGCAAGCTTCCGCTCCTTGTACGGTATATTGCGACTGAGAGAAGGGAGCTGGCTGCAGATCATGGTGCAATCGCTGCCCATCTGCGCGAGGATGCTTCCCGATATGTGCGCGCAAGACTCTTTCAAGACTGGTCCAAATGTCTCCTTAGTCCAGCCGAAGGTCTTCCACGCATTTTGGGAGCTACGTAGCCTCTGAAGACGCGTAGCCACGCTGATGTGCGTGTCAGGTCCATCTAGGTTGCCTGTCAGGGCGAGTTCAGTTTTGTACTGCAGGAGGGCAGTGTTGTCGATGATGACGCGGAAGAGAGTAGAAAGCTGGCATGTAATGAATAAAACTGGCATTTCGCCGGAAAGCTGGAGATAAAAACCTGTCTGCACTTGGTTAAATTGCCCACATCCAGATGATATAAGATCTGAGCAACTAGTTCGGCAGGTAGCGTAGATAGCTGGATTCTGTCCTCGCAGTCCACAGCACCTGAAATGCACACAATGTCAGAGACAATACGCGAAATCTTCAGCAGGCCCACAACTAGTCCAACTCACTCATATCTGCCCACGATTCCTGAGTACAAGCTGGATCAGAGGGGAGATTGCTGGCAACGCGCCAACAGCGCACGTAATTAATGTCGTGATGAGCGGTTTCAGGGTCTTGGCGCGCGGGACCTCGGATACTGATCAGTGCGTACAGTGCGTACTAGGTACCAGCAAACGTGTGATTAGGTGGCAGGACTTCGCGCTACTTTGGGGCAAAAAGGAAAATGAGAAGGTTGCAAGACCAGAAGTTAGCATGAATATAACAGTAAGAAATGCTGCGCTTTGGGTCGCCGTGCCATAAACTTAGATATCAGTCGGATGTTTCCCTTATTTCCCTACGCATCGCTTACATTTATGGGCACGCATAAATGTGTCTATATAGAGTCTGTGATGTAAAATCTTGCAATCCCAATTTCTCGGTACCCTCTACACGAAGTGATCTAAGCCGAAATCCAGTCCAGCAGTTGCTCAGCAGCAACGTGGGCCTCGCCGCCCTCCTTCCATAACTTGAGAGACGCCTCTCTCAACCTCTGGATATTCGCTCGCTTCTTCACACCATCTTCCCCGAAGGCCTTTCCGAGCACCGTGATCGCCTCTTCGCGAACAGCCTCGAGCGTGCCCGTTGGGGCCTTGCCCGTGCGATAGATGGGCTTGAGGCCTGACTCGCCCGTGCGAACCTCGAAGAGCTCGTATGCAACGTCGAGGTTCTCCGTCAGATGAATTGCGTTCAGGGGCTGGTCGCCGCCGAAGGGCCAGCAGATCCTGATTTGGCCCATGTCAGCGTCTGTATAGTGGGAGATGGACGGAACGATGCGTACATGGGGATGCCTGCGTGAATAGACTCGGTGATGCTGTTGAATCCGCCATGCGTGACGAACCATCCGGTGACCTGCATGCTTACGTGAGCCTGGATTGATGTGCGGAGCACAAGACCAGCGTACCGGGTGCTCAAGGATTGCCTGCTGTGGAGCCCACGATGTGATGAGGCCTGTCCCAGAAGCTTTCACCCTCTGTGCAACTTCTGCCGTAAGGTGACAAAACGGGGAAGCCTGAGCCATGATCTGTAGTAGTTGGGAAGAATAAGACACAAATCAGAGTACAATGATGCCGGAGGACTTACAAACGGAATCTTCTGGTCCATGAGGACATCCAAGAACGTCCAGACCTTCTCTGGCTGAGTGGTCCAGACGACTGTTCCGAAAGATATCTGCCAGACGTAAGGAAATTTAGTACGCAGGCTACGGTGTGGCTTGCCGAGGACGCACATATATCATGGACCGCTCTCCAAGCGTCTCGAGCACGTTCTGCATAAAATTTGTGATCTCAGCAGACTTCGCGGCCTGAGTCTTTTCCAATTCGTCCAACCGTTTTCTTTCTGGTAGGAGAATCCCGAGGACGTACATCTTCCGCGAATTCAGAGCAAGGAAGTCGAAGAAGGCTAGAAGGATCTCCTGAGGCTCGATGCATGCCATTGAGCAGGAGATCACTCCGTCGCACTCGTGCACGAGGCTATACATGAATGTGAGCCAAGGAGACGAGAAGAGTGAAGTCTAACGTACCTGGCAGCGGTAACATGCAAGTGTCCGATGGTTGCCACTTTGATCACAGGCTGTAATGTATTCAATATGGTCATTTTAGGCAAGCTCGAGGCGGACATACCTCCTGGGGAGATTTTTCGTAGTCATACATGGGTGGAAGACCAGGTATCTGGACAACTTCGTTATTCAGAGGAAAAGTCACCTGGTGAAGTGTGAGGACTGGACGCCATTTGCGAACACACAACTATAGAAACGCACCGCCCCTGCGGCCTCTATAAATATTTGCCCCGTCTTCCTCATATGAGCTTGGACTCTTCGATCAAGCTCCCCATGCGTGTCGGATCCAAACGGACCAGAAAGAAAAGACATGCACAGTATCGGCGGGGGCAACGAGACTAAGATCTTTACAGTGCCACTTTGTTTGCGCGCTATCTGAAAGAAATGGTATGCGAACATCTGAGAGAAGGTCAGTGGCCGCAAAGCGCCTCGCCCTAAATTCACTCACGTCGATTATGAGCGCATGGGGCGGGCTGAGAGCAGGAATATCTCTCTGCTTCGTCGAGCAAAATGCAGATTCCGCGGCCAGGATTCTTTGAAGCCGCTGCTCGAATGACTTGCCGATGATCTCTTGCTCAAACATATCATGCTCGTGGGCAACAAGTCCAGCGACCCTTAGCAATAGATAGCACCGTTAGTGGACTGCAGAAGCATAATAATGGCGGCAGACGACACCTAATACGAGACTGCAGCGCATCCTCGCCGTCTTCAAAGTTGCACAGAATTTCTTTCGTGACTTTGTCGTACATCTGGCACGAAGTGAGAAAAGTAATGATGACGCTACGCAGCTTGACCAGTCTGGTGGCCAATGCGCACATAGGTCGTACGTGGCCTGAAGAGACTTCAGTTATTCAACATCCAGCTGGGAAGAATTGTGCACGTACCCCAGCCCATGTAAACAGCAATGAGAATGTGAGGGCGATGTTGCAAGGTCGCCATTAGAGAGAGTGACGTGTCTAAGGGCGGGGCTCGCTGGACGGGGTTAAAGGAGGCCACGAACAGGCCTTAAATATCAATACTAGCGCGTTCGAGTTCTTTCGAACGAATAAAAAAAGAACTCGTCGCGCATAGTTGCGGAGGTATACTTCTCCGCGTTCCTAGCCGGCGTTCGTCAACTGGAAGATCCATGTTGGCTTGCACAACTGACTCAGAACTGTGCACAATTTTTCACCGAGCGCTCCGGGATATAATACCAGTGCAGGTCATAACGCACTGTCATCAATCAGCAACTTATCAGCAATTTTCGCACACAGACAGTCGGCTCACTGGAAGACTGGGCTTGAGATGTTCATTTTCTCAAGCCATGTCGGTAATATGTTACTCTTGTGTTGGCTGAGTGAGCAAGCGCCGTCGGCAGGGCGCCACAAAGCTGTCGGAGTTCGGAATTCGCCGTGCACACGTAACGATGTTCGTGTACACCTGTCTCTAGCTGCACCCACTCTGTAAGCAACGCGACAGGCTCACCACCGGTATTCAATCCCGTGAATACGAGAGCAGAATTGCGCCCAGAAACGAGTTCAATATTCAAGCTTTCAAGCGTCGGATCGTTTTCTCCACCCAATGACTGGGGTTACTTTATGACGCGCTCCCAAGCTGGCTATTGGTGCTTATGTGGAGTATGTGACCTCGCTCAAGAATACCGGAGTAGCAGGCAGTTGATAAATCTTCCTTGGTCTTAATCCGACGGACAACGCCGCCACCTACGCAAATATTCGCTCCGCCAGATGCGAGGTACGATACGCAACCTTGTCGGCATTCAGGATAAAACACCAAGTCATCGGCGGAGTATGCCGTGCCGCTCTAAACAGAGTATCCCATGGATAATCCCAAGTATATTGCATTCCTTTGCACTAAAAGTACACTGCTTGCCGCCTTCGTTTGATGGACCTACTTATGATGCAGGCCCTGAATGAGTTGGATCTATCCAGCAGTTCAGCAAACAGAGGACACATGGTGCCAAACCGAGCAGCACGTACTTCTTGCTTGGTTATAGTACGCAGTTCACCAGGCGCAGAAACTTTGCCGATCGCCGCGCTGGCGACGATATCTGCCGCCTTGGTGACCGCGTTGGCCGTCGACAACCAGTAGCGGACCTCTTCGGGGATGACTTCGATGACGGCTACGCGAGGGTCGTTCTGGTCGCCTTTGTGAATGCCATCGCCAAGGTCGCCGAACCAGGCAGAGGTCCTGCGCCAAATCAGCGTCAGGCAACTCTGAAAAGGAAAGACGTGACAGCGTACGTTGAGCTCCAGTGCCTGGCAATGAGCTCCTTTTCCTGGCTAATCTTAGCGATACCGCTGTACGACGCCCAATGCGTTGACTTGTCGTCATAGAACGAGACATTCGCGTGAGAGTCGTTCTCGATCTCGTCGAACTTGTGTGAGGCACGGTTTGCGATGAAGATAAGGTTGACCTGATTGGGTTCGTTCGCTAAGTGGCGCATGAGTTTCGCGGGGGGGGGGAGGCGCGCTTGTGTCAGATGCTTACGGCTGGCAGGAGACATGGCACGCGAGTGCATTAGGCCGTCCGCAGAGCGGGTGGTAAGCATACCCGTCTTGACCTTCTTAACGATGGAGTGGAGGCCATCGATCTTCTCCTGAGGAGTGAGGTTGTCGTTCTGGGCTTTGGCGGAATAAGGGTCGAGCTCTTTGTTGTAAGACATAACGACGGGCTAGATGGAAATATTGCTGGCTTGGTCAGAAGTCCACCAAGAGACCAAGAGCTTTATATACTGTTGGGACTGACAGCGTGAGTGTTATTCGATCCTGCCCCTCCGTGACATCATCAGTATCCACCGCACCAAAGTCGACGGCCCCGAGGCGAGATCGACCCAGCCAAGCAGTCGAGCTTCTCCGCCTTCCCATGCTCTACAAGGAAAATAAAATACTTCGGCTGGTGACTACAACGATGCATATAATATTGTCATGATTCAGAGTAGCACAGAAAGAACATGATACCCATGCTCCCTACATAATATGTACTTCAATTTTGCAAGCCTAACCCATTTACGGTTGTATCTGTCTGGGCCTACTCATGACGGACCATAACGGACGTTACGGTTGACGTCGTGTGTGGACCTAGAAGTGGTACGGAGCAAGGAGCGCGGGACCTCGTTGATCGCTAGTCTCCACAAGCTGGACGCCGGCCAATTACATCCTAACCACGATGACTCCCATGCTCTTTGACTCGCTACGACCATGTACACCACCACTCGCTTTGCCAAGCGGCTCCCTCTCACGAGGATGAGTGCCGCAGTCTCCGGGTCAGTCGAAGCAACGGCGTCGATGCCCAGAAGCTCGTCCTCACCCTCCGCTCCCACTAGACATCAACGCGCCATGTCATCGCAGAGTTACACCTCCCTGGTCGATTTCGGCCGCAAACATGTCACTAATGGCCTTGGACGTCAGATTGAGGGTGTCATGACCAAGGGCTCGGGCTCGTATGTGACGTTTGGAGACGGTAGGACGATGCTCGATTTCACGACGGGTATTGGAGTGACTGGCCTTGGTGAGTGCAGAACAACACGCTGTTATTATCTGACGTTGACACTCTCCTGTAGGCCATTGTCATCCTAAGGTCAGCGCCGCTGCAGCGAAGCAGTGCATGGAGCTCGTTCATGGCCAGGTACGAACGTTCATCCTCATGCTTTACAGTAACCTTCTGACACGTCCTTTCAGTGCAGTCTCGCATTCACCGGCCCATACCTACAGCTCATCGAGAGGCTCCTGCCGATCATGCCTGATCCCTCCTTGGACTCATTCTTCTTTTGGAACTCGGGATCGGAGGCAGTAGAGGCAGCAATTAAGATGGCCAGGACGATCACTGGGAAACAGAACATTATAGCCCTGCAAGGTGGCTACCATGGTCGTACGTTCGGCGCCATGGCCGTTACTAGGAGCAAGACAATCTATAGTGAAGGCTTCCACCCACTCATGGTAAATGCAGATCCTTGCATCATGCGGAATGCGTCGAGCTGACATGTCGTGCGCAGCCTGGCGTATTCACCATGCCCTACCCCTACTGGCACCAACTCGGAGTGCCGGCATCGACCGACCCATCACAAATCTCCGCCATGTGCCTCAACCAATTAAACCTACTTCTCTCTCAACAGACTACTCCGAAGGATACCGCCGCAATCCTCATTGAGCCGCTCCTCGGCGAGGGCGGCTACGTGCCCACACCAGTCGAGTTTCTGAAGGGCGTTCGCGAGATCTGCGACAAGCACAACATCCTGCTCATCATAGACGAGGTGCAGAGTGGCTTCGGGCGCACAGGCAAGATGTTCAATATTGAGTATTCGCGCGTGCGCCCGGATATCATGACGATAGCCAAAGGTCTCGCGAACGGCTTCCCGTTGTCGGGCGTCGTGAGCAAGAAGGAGTTCACCGATAAGCTGAAGCCCGGTTCCTTGGGCGGAACCTACGCCGGCAACGCGGTCGCCTGTGCGGCTGCAGTTGCAGTTGCGGACGCGTTCAAGGAGGAGAAGGTCCTCGAAAATGTCCAGGCCCGGTATGTCCGTCCTTCCCCGCCGCAGCTTTTTCTTACAAGTCCTCCAGTTCCCAGGAACTCTTCCAAGCTCTCAACACGCTTAGAGCTAAAGAGCACCTGAAGCGCACTATCCTAGACGTACGTGGGCAGGGTCTCATGGTTTCCGTCGAGTTCGCCTCTCCCACCGGTTCTGGTCCGTACGACGCTTTTGTTGACAAGACCGTCCCCGAGAAGCTTGCGACACGCGTCGCGAAGCGCTGCCACGAGAAGGGCCTGCTCATCCTTACGACGAGCGTTTATGAGGTCGTCCGGTTCATCCCGCCTCTGAACATCGCCAAGGACGACATGCAGAAGGGTATCCGGATCTTTGTCGAGGCGGTCGAGGAGGTCGTCCGCGAGGGCTGAGGTAAGACATCAACTTGCGACCTAAAACGCTTTATGGCACAGGACCCTTGGATGTATGCTGTACTATTAGAATTTGTATGACTTTGCTCGGACACCCTCTTTTCTCTCGCTGGAGTGGTGCGCAAGGTGTGTCCTCTGCTTCTCTTGCCTCCCCTACAATCGCGCCCGCACTCTTACTAGCCCGTCTGGATGGCACAGCCACTTCCCTTCACAGGACAGTGGCTGATGATCACGATGAAGGATAGGGTCTCTTGATGTGCGAGATGGACCTCCTCCCTTACAGGGGCGATATCTCAAGGGGCCGTCTTGTCTTGTCTTTCGTGACTGGGCGGCGGGTTTGACGAGAAACCGACAGCTCTCCATATGTATATGTATCATCTCGTATGCAGCTTAAGGTCTCAGTTACTTACGCTTCGCACTGTGCTGGACGATGGTTTCTTTGATGAAATCATGATCGTCAAAAGAGTCTTCCAGTGAGGCCGTTCAATGGCGATTTAAGGCGCCCTCACTGCATAACGTTTTCGACGTTCATACTACTACAACCTCGCACGATGTCTTCTCAGCCACAAGCTATAGAGCCAGCTCAAGTGAAGAGATCCGGCAGGTTCTATTTCCAGGACCTATTCATACGCGTGCGTTAGCATTGATAGCTGCACTGGCTGCCATATACCCCCTGACGGCGCGTGCGTACTAGGCTGAAGATACGCTCTTCAAGGTCCACCGTCAGGACTTCGAGAGCGGCTCTGAAGTGTTCAGGCATATGTTCGAGCTGCCCAGCGCTTACCCGAAAGACGAAGGCTCTTCAGCGGAGTTCCCGCTAGTGCTTGAGGGAATCAGGGCAGCGGAGCTGGAGGACTTCCTTGCCGTCCTTTACTCAAGGTGCGACTTCTAGGCAGGGTGAGATGATTCGTCTCAAGACAGCGCACAGATCCTCCAATTCCGCCTCGGCGCCGATGTCTCTGGAACGGTGGAAGGCGGTCTTCAAGCTCGCGACGATGTGGGACTTCGAGGGCGTCCGCACGCAGGCGCTGAGCGCGTTCAAGGAGCACATGCGTGGTGCAAACAGCATGGACACCATTCTCCTCTACCAGGAACTCCACCTAAACATAGACGAGGACTTTGTCCTAGCTGCGCAGAGCATCATCGAGAGAGAGGAAGAAGTCTCGTGCAACGAGGCGGAGAAGCTGGAGCTGGGGACCATCATGCGGCTGTGCACCATACGGGGCTGGTACTCGGCGACGAGGGCACGGGCTCAGCTTCCCAGCAAAATATGCTCTGCATGGAACGTACCATTGGTGCCAGCTCTAGCTCCTCTAAACATGCTAAACCAGCGTCGGAGGAGTCGCATGTATTTCGGATAGCATGCAGTCCCAGTCCGATTATGCAGCCTGTTCACTAGGGAGCTCATCAAATGTCGCTGAACATCTATGCAAGTATATCTACGTACAGATGGGACAGAGCCTCTCGATGCTGCAATATATTAAGAACTTGTCTTCGCAACAGCTACTGTCGAGGCCGCGGCGAGCATTCGCGTGAAGCCTATATATACATTCTAGGATTCTAGCTATCACAGGGAAACGGGAAATTCAGTCAGTTTCACAATTTAAGGAATTTCGAAGAGATAGCGTCAGATTCCAGCGCCGCACGTGCAGCATTGCGTGTCTCGAAATCGAGACGCCCGTGTTGTGCCAGAAGCCAGATTCCATCCAGCCAGTTCCCCGCATGGATTTCTATACGACCAGTTCCTGCAATCCATGTGAGCTGAAACCGAGTCTGACCTGTGTGGGGCCGTCAAGACGTGACTTGAATGGCTGTCAGATGGAAGGAAGAAATTATTGCTGAAGACTATAAGAAGCATGGCAAGGGCTACGAAGGTACAGGCGTGTTTGTTGACATAGATGATAACGAGGAATTGGATGCTGTGGACGACGTTGGGTATGGTGCGGGCAATGTTGGAGATGGTTTCGATGACGAAGGGCCTGCAATCCTGTCTGCACCTACTACTGGTGGACCTGGTGGACCTGCGGCCAGTCCATCCAATGAAAGTGATATGTAGCATGCTGTATTCTGCGTAGTATAAATTGCAGAGGTTTCTCGACTGTTTCGTTGCGACAATGAGCTCGTGGGCGGCAATGGCCGGTCTGTGCAGGCGCTCAGATCGTAGGTCTGAGATCCGCCCATGCGGTTTCCTGGCAGGACAGAATCTGCGTCTCGGCTGACTACGGTCAGCGCGATTTCGATATCGCCAAATTTTCCCTCGATATCGTGGAATTCCTACAATTGTGAAACTACTCAATTTCCCGGTTGCCTGTGTAGTGCTGTCAGAGACTAGGTTCCCTGATTGTCAGCTGATGATGTAGTTCCTACGAGCAAATACACTGAGCGTCAAAAGTAAATGAACACCCATGCCGCCCGAGATCCAGCCACTATTGCAGCATGAGTCTCCAAGCTACTCCTAAGCTTTTATTTGTGTGCATTCTACAAGGTTTTGGCTTGAATATTCACAGAAAATTGTGATATAATGATTAGCAAAAATTGTGCACTACAGCCAGTTTCTAGAGCAACTTTTGCATAAATAATGCAGGTTTGGATGTAAGATCTGTACCACAAACTATTCGGCTCTCTGGCAGCTACATTTGGAGTCTGACTTGCTCAAGAAAAATTTTGAGACCCTTTCAGGCATTTTACATGGAAGTGATCGTGCTCTGGAAATTTGAGGAGTGGAGGTGTTACATATTCTCCCAGAAGTCCATGTGCATTCCCTGCCACTCAGATGGCCATGATATGACTTGGAATAGCATAGGATGGAGTTGCCATCCAATACAGCTCATTGGAAAGCATGTATTTGGTTGAGAGAAGGCAATTACCTGTGGAATGACAAACCAGAGAGCACCAGTCAAGTATATTGCATCCTGGCATTGTAAATCCCCACAATTATATTTCAAACCTTTGTCAATCTCTTGTATATTACCCTAAGAAGTAGCATATTTCCCTAAGTTGTGCTCAACTCTGTGTAGAAGAATGTTCTGGAGCACACTTTAGAGGGAACATGCAAGCAGTCCACCAAGGAAGGTGTGTATGCTTTGCCTTCTTTCTCCTGAGGTCCTGATCACAACTCTGCTAAACAATTGCAAGGTTGTTCGACTCACTGAGTGGAAAAGAGGGACCTTCAGTCTCTAGCCAAGAGTCAGTAGTGGAAGGCAATGTAAGAGGAAGAATGCTGCCAAGATCCATTATTAGCTGGAAAGCTCTGGGGAGCATCCCCTTATGAATAGCCCTGGTTACTAGGAGCAAGGGGTGAAGCATCCTACAAAAAAATTTGGGCGCATAGGCCACGGTATTTTGGCAGAGCATGGCCAAACTTCTGTCAAAAGTGCCAGCTTGAGTGTGAGTGGAGATGTCATCCTTTCATAACATTCTTGCAATCTGCTTAAAGCTTTCAAAATTTTATATTTAGTGTTCTTATGTATGATACATCTCGCACAAATATTTCCGGCATTTAAAACTCAGGGGTCGCGGAGAACGAGAGTGTCGAGTGGGTGTTCATTTACTTTCGACGCTCAGTGTAAATGAAATTGATGCCGCGCCATCACGTCTCTTTGGTGCGCAACTCCTTCGTGGCGTGCTCGCGGCTTCCGCGCTGGCACTTTTTCTTCAGTCTCGACATCGGCATTCACTTCCCGCTCAACACTCAATCTCCAACCTTCGCACTACAATGTCTTCAAATTCAGGAACCGATGGTGGAGTTGCATGTGGTCCCAATGTATCCGGGAAGTTCTTCTTCGAAGACCTCTTCTTGCAGGTGCATTTCAGGCACCAATCTCCTATATCCTGGTTATGCAGTCTCACTGACGATCCATGGGCTTACTCAACTTAGGTTGAGGGAACCTTGTACAAACTTAATCGCAGAGACTTCGAAGAGGGCTCAGAAGTGTTCCAGGGCATGTTCCAGCTCCCGAGCGGTGGAAAAACGGTGGAAGGATCTTCTGCTGAGCAGCCTATAGTGCTTGAAGGAGTCAAAGCGGGAGACATGGATCTGTTCCTCGCAGTCGTGTATCCTAGGTACTGCACTTGTGCTCCCTTTGATTTATGGCTGCCGTCTCATAGCTATCTCCAGACCTTTCGAAAGCGTAGAGGACATGCCCTTGAACGAATGGAAGGCCGTCTTCAAGATCGCGAGACAATGGGAGTTCAGTAATGTTCTCAAACGCGCTTTCAGGGCTATCAAGGAGCAATTGGAGGTGGAGGACGGCATCGATGCCATTCTAGTCTACTGCGAGTTAAGTCTGGATCTGGACGAAGGCTTTGTTTCTGCAGTTAGGGGACTTGTCACTCGCGCGGAAGATATCTCTGAAGAAGACGCACGAAGGCTAGACCTAACTACCCTAATGCGTATATGCACGCTACGCGGATGGTACACTCGTGCTCCCTGTACGAGGAGTGTCATCGACGAGAGGGTACGCAGCACATGGAATATCGCACCAATTCTCTCCACACTTTCCGTCAATCCTCGGAAGCGGCCAAGGATTAACAGGCGCTTTCCGACTTCAGACGACGAGCTCGAGTTATGGCATACCAGGGCTTATTAGGCTTTCAGTTTGGATCATTATCGAGATATCCCGTAGCTTTCCCTACCAATTCCTTTCCGTGTTCAAGCCCTCTTCTCGTTCCACCTCTCGGTTGTACCGTTGGAGATCTCTGGCATGCCTCTTATCTATCCCTTAACAAATGCGAATGAGCCATAATGAATCACAAACGCTCATCGGGCGTCGTGCTTAGTACGGGGGCTGAGTAATCCCCTGGCAGACATGCTACCATTGTACCCTGCTGTCCAGAAATACATGCCGATAGCGGTACATCCATGCATACATTGCAGGAGAGCATTGGAAACTACACATTAAACAGGAACAGATTCACCGTCAATGTCGTCCATAGGTTCGCCATCCACATCATCTGTACCTTCCATAGGTACACCGTCAACATCCTCGAGAATGAGCTCCCCATCGACATCTTCCGCTACGGGAACGCCATCGAGATCCTCTGCTATTGGTTCACCGTCCATGTCGTCAGAGATAGGCTCTCCATCGACGTCATCATTGATCGGCATGCCATCCACATCATCCACGGCAGGTACTTCGGCATCGCTACCAACATCCATAGGCTCTCCTTCGTCGTCATCCGCAGCTGTAGGCGCGGCGGAGGGCGTTGGCGTAGGCTCAACCTCTTCTGCAGGCCGGAACGAGCTTGACTTGAATTTACTTTTGAATGCCGGGATCGTCTCCTTCTGTGCAATGACGGGATCTGCCTCTTCCTCCTCTACCTGCGGGATGGTCTGTCCCTCGAGGCGCTGGCGCAGCTCACTCGTGAAGTCAGGCGGAAATACGATCCAATCGTCCCAAATATCGACAATAGTGGCGATCTGCTTCTTGAAGGTCTCAGCCGTGATGCGTCCTGGGAAGGAGTGATAGATGGTCGAGAGGTGGTCAAAGACAATGCCGAGGCGAGCTTGAAACTCTTGACGGAATTTCCAAGCCATGGGAAGCGGGGCTGCGGAATTATGAAGGATGTCGCAAATGAGGTGAAGACGAGCAACCTTGCGGGGTACAGGTGTGCCATCGACAAGCAAGGAAGAGACGATGATGTCTGCGACCTGTGACATACTCAGCTAGGCATTCAGACGCCACCACCATAGGAGGCTTACCTCTGACGCGGCTTCAGCATGTTCTAAGCTGAATGCCATGCAACGTGCAAGCTCGCCGCGTCGACCCGAAAGTGCACGGAGCATAGCTTCAAACCGCTTCCTAGCGAGGCGACCTAATTGGTTCTTGCGCCCGCGTTCGCGCTCAGATTCTTCCGCCGAATCAGTAGAATAAATGGAGTTGTACCCCTGTTGACATAAACTCAATCGATACCAGAGTAACAGAGAGAAGATTCACATACCTCGTCATCGAACTCCGGTTCAATCGACTTATCACGTTTGATAAGGTTCACGTAAAGCTTATGTCGGCGGTGCTAGCATATGATGAATACATGCAGAGCAAGTATGCAACGATATCTACTTACTCCTGGCTTGAGAAAGCCATATTTTGGATTTGATTGCTCGCGCTCTTGTAAACTCCTTGCATATTCTTCGCCATGTCCCTTGACTTCAGCGGCGACAGTGCGGATAAACTGCTCCGAGATTTCTTCTTCATCGCTCGGGCGTCCTCGCGACCGGGACCGGGAACGAAACCTCGGCCTCGAATGCGACCGGCTGTCACGTCGTCGGCTGTATGATCGCCGCCTTTCATGTCTAAAACGAGATCCCGACCGCGAACGAGAACGCGATCTGGAGACTGATTGGCTGTATGAACGGCGATGATCTCTGTCTCGAGAATGAGAACGCCTTCGAAGACTGCGACTTCCACTCCGGTGTCGCCGAGGCGAGCGACTTCGTGACCGGCTTCGCGAATTACTCCTAGAGTGCGATCTACTTTTCTTCACCACTGCAAACGGCGTCAGCACGCAAAAGTCTCTGGAAGTGGGGCAAACACTCACCGTACATCGGCTTAGCAGCAACTGGGACTGCCTTGCTCCAGCCCACTCTGAGGACTGACCCGCCCCAGTCAAATCCGTCAAGCTCTCGCAGAGCCGCTTCTGCGTCTTTGCGCTTCATGTAAGCTACGAATCCACTGAGCCCAGTGTTCTTGGTGCGCCTGGACGCAGTCATGTCATTGCCGGGACCCACGGAAGCGTCTCCACGAGGCCACATAATCTTAACCTGTGATGATACGCGTCCAGTGAGAAACACTCGGCGTATGAAGTCGAAGAGCACACACAGAGCCGACAGGGCCGATTCGTGCAAAGAACATGCCAAGGCTTTGCTCATTGACGTACGGAGGGAGATTGGCAACGAAAATGTTGGATGTCTAACCAGAAGAGTAAGCAATGTACGAGTCGTTAGAAACGTAAAGCTCACTTCTGGGTCCCCTCGATCTTTACTGCCGCTCTGCCCCTCGTAGGCCGCCATCGCCGTCACAGAACGCCCCTGGGTCGCTTGCAAATTATTAAGCTACAGGTCGGTTTTAAATGAACTCAAAACACTTACCATGTCGTCCGAGGCGGGACTCCCGCGAAGCTTGCTCTCTACGAAAGGACAATCGGCACCGGTACATAGATGCAAGGGACTAGCTTACCTCTTAATCTCTTCTAGAAATGAATCCATCGCGCGCTTGCCTTTAGGCTTCGGAACAACTGGGGGCGGCGATGGGGGCTATGAGAAGTCAGTAACTAGACAGTAGCCGGATACATGTTCCGCAACTCACCCCCGAGTTGAACATGGATACAGCTGCTCGCGAGGGTTCCGGACCGCTCTTGGCTGACGGAGCATACACGACTTCTTTTCCAGCCTTAACGAAGGAAGACCCGGCCTTCCTACGGTCGACATCTTCGCCTTGAAATGCCTGAATAAACTCTGCATAGGCCTTGACCGCGTTCTCTTCTTCCTCCCTGCGCTTCGCCTCCGCGGCTTCTTTCTCTTTTTCCCGCTTTGACTTGCGCAATGTGCCTTGCGTGTAGTGGGAGAGTTTGTGATCCTCTACTGCCTTTGGCTAACGAGGGAAGCAAGCCGTTGGTGAGCGTGGACAGGGCAATAATAATGTCGTATCCATCGCACTGGAAATGCAGCTTCATCGTCATCGTTGTCGAAGAATGCGGCAAGCTTCGACTTTGTTTTGTCCATACTCCTCGTAGCTGAGGATTGCGGGGACTACACGTCGAGGGTGCTCGTATGTGGACACGGAGATATAGAACAAGATGGCCTCACCTTATCAATGTTGATATGGTTGTCAATATCACGCAAATTAGAACATCTGACGATAATGGCAGTGTAGCCAAGTGGTTACGGCGTCACGTTTAGGCTGTGTCCCAATCCGTGATGGGTTTCCCGCGCGAGTTCGAATCTCGTCACTGTCATTTTTTGCTGCTCGCTTACAGCATCTGCTCCGCCTCCCATCGGCGTCTATTTTTCACTCACCCTGCGACCGCCATGGCCTCTGCAACAGGTATATTACCTCACTGTATGTCCAGCTTGAATATTTTTTTTAATATGCATGCGCAGCAACAGGAAAACTCTCACGAGAAGAGTATCGTAAACAAAAGGATCTCGATGCGGCTCGGAAAGCGGGCACCGCACCAGCAGCTGTAGATTCAGAGGGCAAAGTCATCAATCCCCACATCCCTCGTACGTCTCTCTTGCTACAATTTGTGTTCATCTCCTCCTCACTCAACCGACAGAATACATTGCGCAGGCCCCATGGTATCTCGACACAGGCGCACCCTCACTAGCCCACCAGCGTATTCCGGAGTACGATCGCTCCGCAGACAAGCTCGACAACTGGTACGACCGTGGGGCCAAGGCTGGACCTGCAGCGAAGAAGTACAGGAAAGGCGCTTGTGAGAACTGCGGTGCCATGACACACAAACGACAAGACTGTCTGGAGCGGCCGCGAAAGCGGGGAGCAAAGTATACAGGATCGGACATCG